CCTGCAATTCCCTCACATTGCGAGGGGGTAGCGTGGCAGCACGAATTTGGTTTTCAGAGTAGGATTCCACAAATGCTCTGTGGGATTAAGGTCAGGTGAATTTAGGGGCCAAGAAATAACTTGAAAGTCACTGGAATGTTCCTCGAACCAATCCATGACGATTCGACCCTTATGACATGGTGCATTATCCTGCTGGTAAACACCATCCTATGCAGGAAAAACTGTTGCCATGAATATGTGAACATGATCTGCAACTATGTTCAAGTAGCTCACAGGTGTCAGGGATTGTTCTATGAGGATTATGGGTCCTAATGTGCCCCATGAAAACATTGTTCCTGGGCGAGCCCATTTTTGTAGATGGAGGGTGGTCATAATATATATATATATATATTCTTTACATGAAAAATCATGCAATACATCAACATTAAATGTACTAAGAAAATTTAAAATTATTCAGATGCGTATAAATATTCTTAATTCTCAAGTTCTCCTAAGGCTTAATTCTTTTTAAGTTAAGACATTGGTTGCTTTAGTAATAAGTTACAGATAATATAAAATCAATATCTTTTTTAGGTATTTTATAAGCCATGTGATTCAGTTCCAATTTCACAAAGCACTCTGTGAAGAATCTGGATACACGGGACCTCTGCATCAATGTGATATTTATCAAAACAAGAAGGCTGGAAAACTATTGAGGTATTTATTAAACTTAGTAAATTTAAGAACAGATGCATTGTTATACCGTTACCAATGGATACAACTAATTTACAAAGAACTACCTTAAACTGTTTCCGGTTAAACTGCTAACAAAATAATCTCCCGGCCCAGAATTTTCACCAAAAAAAGTGAACTAGTGAGCAATTTAGTTATTTTATTATAGGAAAGCCAATAGAGACAAGAATGTGTTCCAAAAAAAGAGTTGCCAACAATTGCACAAAGCACTTATCAAAGTTTTGAGGTACGGTTTCCACAGTAGTATAGTAAATTGGCTGGAAGTAGTTGCCAGGCGCGGATTATACGGGTAAGGGTTTTACTAACCTATGTACGTATCCGCGTCTGGAAGGAAAGTAGTATAGTAAAAAATAACAATTGCGTTTATTGGTGAGGAGAGTTTTTTTAAATTTCGTCAACACCCAAAACCCATCAAAGGAACGATCTTCTAATGATGACCAATATCAATTTATCAGCATAAACCAACATCAATATTTTAAACAAAAATTAATAAATAAGAATGCGATATCAAGAAATAAAAATTGCTATCATTTTAATAAATTATTCCGGAAAAAACAGAGGAGTTGGCAACCATAGGAAGATAAATCTTAAAGCTTATTTAAAAAATCTTCTTCATAGAGACTGTTTGATGTAAGTTCTCACACAACTTATTTATCTGTCAGTAAAATTATACTCCTGTTGAGGCATCAAATTTTATCCTAGCATGTTCTGAAAGTTTGAACAATTCTGGAAATTTGCACAGTGCGTCAAAAAGAAAAATGTTTCATCCTGAATAACTCTTGCATCATGTACTTAATGGTTTGAGAAACTTATATATATATGCTATAACTCATATAAACTCAATATATTTAACCTCATATATATGTTATTAAGTTGATTACAGCAGACGATATTTTAAGAAAGTCGAATAAAATTATACACTTTAAACTTTTATATACTTAACTGATGTAAAAATTTGTTAACCTTACAATTCAATATTATTAAATAAAATAATAAAAAATAACTGTAAGCAGTTTTCTTTTGCATTCATTTATCCTTGGATAAAAAAAATTATAATTGTGAACAAGTTTTTCAATTTGCTTAAAAAAATTCTCGAGATTTGACGAAATATGTAAAAAGTAAAATTAACAGTAAGACGTCCAAACTTTCGACCGCTCTCCTGACTAAATTATTGAGACCATATTTCCAGATTGTGGCTACCCTCCTGACCGTATTTTGAGGGTCCCGAATCCGTCGAAAAAAGGACATGTTTAATCAAAGAAAATATATTTGTAACTGATTTCGTAACTTAAAATATCGTCTGAACTAATTAACATATTTGAGGTCATCCCTTTAAACCATTAAGGTCCCAGTACGTGAAGATCACTAGATCAAATATCTCTAAATCAACTAGATAAGATAATCACTAAATAAAAAGTTATTCAGAATGTTTCATTTTTTTCGCTGAGTGCAACAGCTTGGAGTAATATCTTTATTTTTCAAACAGTTACACAACTTTTTCACCTGACAATGTCAAAAGGGGCCCAACACTCAAAATATATTTTTTCTGCGATGTAAACATAAAACTAATTCATTTTAGATTATAAAGAATAAAAATATGAGCTATAATCTTGTTAAAAAAAAAATTAATAATCATAGAATATAAGTAAAAATTTCGAGGAATTAAAATACATAAATAGTCTAAGTAATATTTTTGATAATTACAAAAGTTTACTATTACTTGTCTCGACTGTTGGAGTTAAGTTAGATTTATTGCATTCAAATTCCTAAGTATGTTTTAATGAATAATTTAAAATTTAAAGAAAAAAAAATTTAGTGCACTAAGATGGAAAATAAAAATTGCATACCTAATATCATTAGCACATATAATATACATTAGCATACATTATCTAAGTCATTTTGAGTCACAAAGCAAAATTTTATTAGAATTTTTCTCAGCATTGTTGCATTAAAAATGTTAAAGATTTTGCAGAAATTGACTCACGGCTTAGAGCGAGGGCTCTCAAAAAATGGGGAATAAAAAATTTTATAGGATAAGATATGTAATTTATTTTAATTTTTTTATAATTGAAAGTTTATTTATATATTTTACTTATTAAAATGATAAAAATATTTTTAACGAAGTATGCTTTAAATCGGCCATTTCATACAAATTTAATGCTGTATTGTATAAAATACTGAGTGTGTCAACAATATAAAACATTAATTTCTTTTATATATATGTTTTAGCGACACACTGAAACTAGGGAGTTCAGTATCATGGAGAGAGGCGATGAAAGTGATCACTAAAGGAAAGACTGATAAAATAGACGCTTCAGCTATTTTGGAATATTTTAAACCTCTCTATGACTGGCTAAAAGAGCAAAACAAAGATGAATTTATTGGATGGAAAAATGATAATTCAATGGTTTGCCCATAAGTTTACCAGCATTGATGTTTTCCTTATTCAGCAATGTTTATATTACATTAGATCAGTATTGTATAAAAAATTATAAGCAATTATTGTCTAAAAATTTGATTTTTTAGGTTTTAAAATAATAAAACAATGTTTGAATAAATTGATTAATTTTATATTAATTCTGAAATTACATTTAAAATTGAGAAATATGCACATATCATAAGAAACTATTCAATGTAAACTTCATAAAAGATAAAAGTTATGTTAAAAAAAGAAGCATAAACCCTTTTTTTGTTTTTGTTTAGTTTAACAAATAAATTTCACATTCTCAAGTTAGCAAAGAAAATCAAGCATAAAATTTTAATTCATATTATTTTTTATGTATTATGATGGTTTTAGAAGCCCCTGATTTGATAGATAAAAATACAGGTTGCAAGAATACAGAATTTTATCAGATCTCAATTTCGAAATACAACAAAAAAACCGCAAAAACCACAGAAAAAAAGTAAAAAAATCACTTAAAAAAATAACTTGATTTGTTCTAACACAAATTGTTTAACATATCAACAAACTCAAAAAAAACTTGATTTGTTACAACTTTGAATAAAGCAAATATTCTAAAATAGTATTCTAAAAAGTAGTGTCAGGAAACATAAGAATAACTACTAATAATTTTGTATGTAATGATAGTTGACTATAAGTCTAAATACAGCAAAACTTTTAAAAGTAAGACAAAATAAGTATGCATTAAATAAAAAAAGAATTGGTTTACAATAAACTTACATACACTGTGATTTTTCCAAAAAAAACTCATTTTCTATTTTGAAAAATATTCGACATAAGGTCTTGAGAAGGAACTCTTCAACATAAGAATTCAAATTAACATTAGAATAAACATATAAAATTAAAATCTTTAATTCAAAAAGTTGCATTTCGTTAACAGCTTTTTGTTCTGAAAATTTCAAAATAATACAAAACTGGTTGATCCCCTGAGAAACTGATTTGAAATAAAGTAAAGTATTGACTTTTCAAAATAAAAAAGTGTTCAAAAAAGTGACTAATTTTACTGCTTTAAAAAAAAAACGACCAAAAAAAAAGTCTATGCAGCACAAAAAAATTGTATTACATGCATTTGACTTAACTTACTTAACAACAAAAGAAAGTTTCAACAAAAAAAAAATTTTGCGATAGAATTTTTAGTCTTTTAAAAGCTAAAAATTGTTGTAGCATCAAAAATATAAATAATGTAGTAAATAATAACGGAAAACTTATTAAATGTTTTAAGCACCAGTCAGTCTAAATAAATACTACATATATGCAAGGGTTAATTATAGGATATTTGCCAAAAACTTAGAAAATTCCTCAATTATAATAATAATGAAAGATATCTTGAGATATTTTAAATAGTTTCTTGCTCTGTTTCTAGAACATTTTAAAAGAAAAAAAAACCTAGACAAGAAATTATTTTAAAAAAATATTGAGAGCAATTCTGTTTTAACCAACAAAGTTCATTAACAATTGAAATAAGACAAATAAAGGGACAAAAAAAATTGCATAAGAAAACAAACACTAATAACCAATACAAAGCCGACAGGTAAGAATTCTGCGAAAAGATTTTCCAGCATAAAAGTGGCAGGTAACAATTAACTTCGAAAAAAGCTAATAATATTCTTTTTCTTTAAATGCTTCATTTAGGTAAAAAAAAAATTTCCAAAAAAAATTTCACATTGAAGAATTCTGTACTCCCCACGCACACAAATGACAAGTTTTTTTTTTATCTTACGCTCATCTTCTCTAGTTTAAACAATTTTTGAACCAGGCTAGTTTTGGTTTTCCTTTTTGCTTGCAATTCCTAAAAAAATTGACTAATGATAACTTCTTAGATGCAGNTATAAGTATATATATATATATATATATATTTTGACCAATTAAAAGGAAGTGATCAATTAGGAATTTTATAACCTAAAAAAAAAAGACATTTAATGACTGATAAAAACAGTAACAGAGAAAAAAAGGGACTTGTAAAAAAGTAAAATTAATAGTTTAAATTAGAAAAGATATTTTTTAAACAAAATAGCAAAATATTTGAATAATTCAACTTTTTCAAGCAAACAAGCACATTTATTTATAAATACATTTAATTAGTTAATTCAATTAATGCTTCTACTACATCTCCATGATGCTCTCTTAGTTTCAATTCCGCAATATTTCTTGATATTTCCATTTCTTTCATCTATAAAACAAACAAAAGCAATTAAAATACATTATAAATAAATTTAGAAATATATATTTCTAAATAAAAGACAAATTTAGCATATAAATATTGAGGTGAAGTACATTTTTACATTACACAATAGGTTACTAAATAACAGGACTGATGCTCCCTCAGAAGAAATATACATACCCCGAATGTGAATGAATGACAGATATGTAACGTGAAGACTTGTCTTTCAAATGTGTTCTACCCTATGAATGTAAATAATATAGTCTGACCATACATTTTGTTTGTAAAACTGCTATTATTTTGTTTCGTCGGAAAATAATACAGGGTTCCCACTCTTTTATCAAAATAAAAATTAATTTTTTTTGAAAAAATGAACTTTTTTTTGGTTGAAAAAATTAAGGATGTTGAAAATAATATAGTATATTAAAATTATTTATCATCAAATAGATCATATCATTATATATTATCATATACCTACTCCCAGTGTCAGTCAGTACCAATTATTTATCTGCCAACAAAAAAAAATTATTACATTGCAAGTATTGATATAATTGTATTCATTACAAAACAGCTTAATTTTTAGTACATTTGGGAATTTTAAAAAAAGTTACTACTTTTCAAAAATTTCAATTACTTGAATTGAAATATCCTTCCTTTTCATTTAATTCTTCATGTTTTTTAGAAATAATTGTACCTTTCAGTCGAGAGTGCAAAAAAATTTTGTGTTACTTCTTTTCTATAAGCACGTGCACTGCCAGTAAAATTGAATTGCTCGAACTCTGTCACTATAAAAGGTCAATGTTGATGCTTTAGAACCGGAGAAAAAAAAAGAAATGATCTCTCTAACATTCAGTGTCCCACTTCCTCAATACCCTATTCTTTTCTTTCAGAATGCTCCACTCTCCAGAGACCCACATTCTAGGTAAACGGAAAAATATTTTAATAAAACAATCACAGCAAATTCATGCCTTCTTCCCCTTGTCTGTAGCCCAATTCACACACACCCTTTGTCTCTCAAAATGTTCTATCCTCGATGCAGAGTCTCATTCCAGATGAAAGAGAGGTGGACTTTTTGTTTTAAATATTTTTTTAAAACTAAAAAAATGTTCCAGTCAACTAGCAACACTGGTAATTAAGGACTTTCAAAAACCTTGAACCAAAAATGAGTACTTTTTAGGGCCCTTTTCTTTTTTCAAAATAAAAATAAAGCAGTTTTTAAGGACCATGGTAATCTTGTAAAAATTGAGCAACAAATCTTTCATGAAATTTTTCTAGACCTGACATGATAAAAACAGCCCTACTGAAACAGTATAAAAGTACGGGTTGCCCTTCCTTGCCAAAAGTGAAAGAAGTGAAAAAAGTTGGTAATCTGATTCATTCTGACTAATGGTTAACTAGTCATGTAATTTTTAAAACTGTAGAAATTGACAAAGAATGTACAAAATCCAAATTGTGGAAGAAGTCATAAGTACTCCATCAAGACAACATACCAACTCCTTTTGCATTGTCCATCAAGATGTTTTTATCCAAATACAACATCCTAGAGTTAAACCATCCACCTTATTCGCCTGACCTAGCACCATGCAAGTTTTTTCTGATACCCACCCCACAGTCAAATCTTCATTAAAAAGAACAGGATTCCAGTCTGTTGAAGTTTTAAAAGTTAAAGCAGCACACATCATGAAGGAGCACACATCATCCTAGCACTGTTTAAAACAGTGGAAATTTTGCATGGTAGCAGGGATAAAGTAGGACAGTGTATCAAAGGTGATAACTAAAAATGTTTGAATTCAAAATGCAGTGTAAATACCTCATGTATTATATTTCCAATTAGAAAAATAATGAATAAAATAAAATAATATATATATACAGTGGAACCCCGATTTTACGTTGTCCGTTTCGTACATTATCCCGCTTCTTACGTCATTTTCTGCTGATCCGTAAAAATTGCCTATACCGATAATGTTAAAAAATCCCGGATTTTGCGCTACACCTTTTATGAAAATCCCGCTTCATGCGTTTTCTACAAACAGATCAAAATTTTTTTTAAATTCTATTCAAAATAGTTTTACTCATTTTTCCGTGCTAGCATACAAAATGAGATTTTCAGTCGGTTTTGTTTGAGTTTGAAAGCTATAGCATTTTTTCTCATTTTCGAAACATCAGTCATCGTGTTCTTTTCTCGAAAGAAGATGTCAAAACGAAAATGCTTTTCTCTGGCCGAAATCATCGAAAAAGCTAAAGAATTTCATGGCACTAAAGTTGATCGTGCTAAATCTTTGGGTATTGCTTATTCAACTTTGCAAATGATTTTAAAGCAAGAAGCTTCAGTAGAACTACACGCTGAAAAACTCGGAAAATATGCCAAGAAGAGAAAAACCCTTAAAACATCTCTGTATGATGAGTTAGAAAACATTTTAATGAACTGGTTCAAGTAAGCCAGAGCAACAAAGATTCCTATAAATGGATCCATTCTGAGAGAAAAGGTGCTTGAAATTGCTGAAAGACTTAAACTCCAAGGCTTCAGTGCATCAAATGGCTGGATCGATCGATTAAAAAAAAAAAGGAACAATTTTGCTTCAAATCTATCTGTTGCGAATCCGATAGTGTGGATATGACAATTGTGTAACAGTGGAAAGAAGAAACTCTGCCAAATTTATTAAAGGGCTATAATCCAAGTGACATATTTAATGCGGACGAAACGGGATTGATTTTCAACCTATTGCCAAACAAGACATTGACAATTAAAGGTGAAAATTGCCATGGAGGAAAGCTTTCAAAAATGCGCTTTACTGTTTTGCTCTGTGCAAATGCCGATGGAAGCCAAAAGTTAACGCCTCTTGTGATCGGTAGAGCAGAGAAACCACGGTGTTTCAAAAATATCAAAAGTTTTCCTACCGATTACACTTCAAACAAAAAAGCATGGATGACGCAAGCATTATTTAAAAATTTTCTTCGAAAACTGGATAAGAAAATGAATTTTCAAAAGTGCAACATAATTTTATTTCTAGACCAATGCACTGCTCATTTAAACCTTAAATTGAAAAACGTGCAAATAGAGCTTTTTCCAGCTAACTATATGAGCAAACTTCAACTACTGGATTTAGAAATTAAACGATCATTTAAGGAGAGTTGCCGGAAGCAACTGGTTAGAAAATCTCTTATGTTTCTTGATTCTGGTGGCTTTCAGGATGCTCCTAAGGCAAAAATTCATGTTCTTGAGGCTCTTAATTTGATATCTTCAGCTTGGGACAGTGTCGACCGAAATTATCAATGGATTCAATAAAGCAGGATTTTCAATATCGGAGGAGGAGAGCGCTGTTATTTTGGAAGAAGAAGAAGGTAGCGTGTCTGAAGTTGAGGACCTTCCAGAAGTCGATGATGACTGTGACACAGATATCATTACTTCAGAAATCCCTTTCATAAGTGATTTAATGCCTGATTACGACGATAGTGCTGATAACAATGAAGATGAAATAACAGTAGACGTGCCAACAGCTGATCAAGCAATACAAAGCATAAAAACTCTAAAACAATTTTTACTTGCAAATGTAAATCAAGAAGCAAATTTGCAAAAAATTGTTAGTATTGAACGAGCTGTATACGAAATATTAGCTAGAAACGAAAAGCAAGTAAAGATTACTCATTTTTTCCATTAATTTAACTGGTAGGTGTCAATTTTAAAAGTATGCATAGATTTTTCTTAACCCCGATTTTACGTTATTCCGCTTCGAGCGTTTTTTATCGCTAGTCCGACGGAAAACGTAAAATCGGGGTTTCACTGTATATACATTGATTCAAACACAACAATAAATAATCTATGAAGTATCTTAATTACCATCATAATTTCATTTCTAAACAGTTAAGAGAGGGCATTCATAATGAGCTAAGGGGACAAATTAAGAATTTTCGATATTTTTTCACCAAAAAATTTATAGCATCCAATCTTATAATGATAGCTTTAGTATGATGAGCTATTATTATGAGAAAATATTTATCAAAACCGAATTTAATTTTAAAATTGACAAAATTTAAATCGATACAGCATTGTACATTGATTGATTATAAGCATAAAAACCAACGTGCCCACGCCACAGGTCTTCAAAATAAGCCTATGTGCGTACAGTAAAAACTTTTCATAATGCAAACTTTAATTTTGAAGCATTAGGCTTAGCCTTATGTATAATTTGGTGTTACATAGATCATTTCAGGCATCATGAAACTTATCTAGAAAGGAATCACAATATATATCTCGAACAGATCAATGTTAAAATGTTTTAAAATAATTTTTAGATACAAAAAAGACAAATACTTTAAGACACAATAACACGCACTCAACAAAATGATCAAGTTTGTTTTAGAGATTGTTATAGCTCAGTAAATAATATTTCTTTCAACCTACTAACAATTACTAGTTCTTTCTCATTAGAGGAATTTATTCAGTGTGATTTTAACTGTTTACACCTGCAAAGTTAATGCATGGTTTAAAGAATTGCATTATATAGATCCCATATTGTATTTCACTCGCATTCAAGAAAATTTTCTCTTAATTACAACATTACCAAACGATTAAATACATAAATAGATACGTGAGTTTCTTATTGGCATTTGGATAGATCTATAAAAGAGATTTTGAGATGAAAGATATTTTTACATGATAGAATAGTATGGGAGAAACAGGTTTTTCCTAAATTGTCTTACACAATTTTGTTACGTAAAAAAGAAAGAAAAAAATTAAACATAAAAATAAAATGTTGCAATTTTCTTACTCCCTATCACAAAAACAGCATCAAATAAATTAAAAATTTTGCAAAATTGTATTTTAAAACTGAGTATGAAATTTTTTTTTTAAGGAAAACAACAGATTGAAGTAAAAATATGAAAATTAGGCAACAGCTCTTCATTAATTGTTCATGATATATTGACTTAATGTACTTACAATTAATTCAACATCATCTTTTTTAATAACTACTTTTGCTAGTTCTTTTTGACGGGCAGCCTTTTCAGCAGTTTCTTTGGAGTGTTTATCCCCTATCAAGAACATAGCCTATAACAAGAAATATATATGTAAACAAAAAGCATGTTTTTTATATAATCTGACTTACATAATAATTTAATTGCTATACAAAATAATTCCATCTAAATTACAACTTGCTGCTTATAATGCTTATAATAAAAATCTAAAATCAATCATTCAGGCAATACTTTTGAAATTAGGAAGGAAAAAAAATGCAACTTGTAAAAGTAAATAAAGACCGATAAACCTAAAGACATTCTAAAACTATGTTGTTACCATGTATGGCAATACTTTTACTTGTGCAACACAAGCAAAAGTATTGTAGTATTGCAATGGAAATTTAATTTAATCTATTTATGTTTGGATAGTTATGAATGCAGTCTGTTTTATGTTCTAAGGATAGTTTGATTAAGAAAATTAAAATATTAACTCCATAAATAAAACTGGAATAGTCACAAAAAAATTTTTTAATTTTAATTGTAATTATTTACTTTTTAAAATTTTAATTGAAAGATAACTTGCATTTTTGTGTTACCTATTTACTCTTATTAAGCATTCAATAATTTAGAATATTTTCAGAATTGTCTGAGTTACAATTTTAACAACATCAATGTCTGAATTTTGTAATTTTGATTTTTTCTTTATCAGGCTTTATTTAAAATTTAAGAGTACAAATAAAAATTTGGATACTTAAATATATATAATAAAGTAATTTGGAATTTAAGTTTTAATTACTCATTGACATTTCTATATTTTAAATAAATTATATTTTAGATGATAAAAAAGATCAGGAATAAAACTTCTACTTGAGTTAAAAGTTAACTGAAAATTTACTAGCCTGCTTTATTGGTATAAATGTTTTTGGGGCACTGGCGCAAGATATACATATATATATAGCAGAATAAATAAATACAAAAAGCACAAAGAAAATTAAGAAAAACAATAAGTTTGTGCAAATCCGTGCCGGGTGAATCCATGGCTAAAATTATTTACCAAAAAAATTTCTTCATTAATTTATAAATTTTTCCATGTGCAAATTCATTTCGGGCAAATCCGTGGCTAAAATTATGTGTAAAACAGGTAATTCATGTTTCAATCTCTTTTCTATTTTTTTCTTAAATAAATATTTATTTTCTATAATTATTAATTGTCAACTTTTTTAAATTATCCAGTATAATATTACCTTGCGCACATCCATTTCGAGCCCATCCTTGGTAACTAACAAATCAAACAAACTTCAGTAATGCCGTAAGAACGCACTTTAATACAAAAATCCTCTAGTTACGCTTTTACCTTAATTTGCACTTTTGTTTTCATTTTTTGCAATCTGGCAATCTTGTTAAGAAAATATTTTAAATCATTTTTGAGAAATTTCCCGCTCATGTAAGTTCATTAGATTTCGTTACTTGCTTTTTTGATTTCATTTCATGTTTTATTCTGATTTTTCTTCATACTTTATTTTCTGTTTTTACTTGATATTTTTACTTATTGTGTTCTATTTTATTTGTTGTAATTTCAGTAAAATTATTTTAGTGCTCCTCACACTGATGTATTGATATATTTTGCTTTGGCTATATTGATATAATATTAGAAAGCACTCTTTTCTGTAGATATAATCTTGTCAGCTGATAAAAAGATTATATCTTTTATTTTCTGGATTTTTTTGAAAATTTTTGTCCTTTTTTTAGGATTTTTTTCTTCCAGATTCTTGATATTTTTATTATTTTTCTTNGGTTTTCCAAGTAGGACCACAAATGCTCTATTGGATTAAGGCCAGGTGAATTTGGGGGCCAAGACATGACTTAAAAGTCACTGGAATGTTCCTCGAACCAATCCATGACGATTCGACCCTTATGACATGGTGCATTATCCTGCTGGTAAACACCATCCTATGCAGGAAAAACTGTTGCCATGAATATGTGAACATGATCTGCAACTATGTTCAAGTAGCTCACAGGTGTCAGGGATTGTTCTATGAGGATTATGGGTCCTAATGTGCCCCATGAAAACATTGTTCCTGGGCGAGCCCATTTTTGTAGATGGAGGGTGGTCATAATATATATATATATATATTCTTTACATGAAAAATCATGCAATACATCAACATTAAATGTACTAAGAAAATTTAAAATTATTCAGATGCGTATAAATATTCTTAATTCTCAAGTTCTCCTAAGGCTTAATTCTTTTTAAGTTAAGACATTGGTTGCTTTAGTAATAAGTTACAGATAATATAAAATCAATATCTTTTTTAGGTATTTTATAAGCCATGTGATTCAGTTCCAATTTCACAAAGCACTCTGTGAAGAATCTGGATACACGGGACCTCTGCATCAATGTGATATTTATCAAAACAAGAAGGCTGGAAAACTATTGAGGTATTTATTAAACTTAGTAAATTTAAGAACAGATGCATTGTTATACCGTTACCAATGGATACAACTAATTTACAAAGAACTACCTTAAACTGTTTCCGGTTAAACTGCTAACAAAATAATCTCCCGGCCCAGAATTTTCACCAAAAAAAGTGAACTAGTGAGCAATTTAGTTATTTTATTATAGGAAAGCCAATAGAGACAAGAATGTGTTCCAAAAAAAGAGTTGCCAACAATTGCACAAAGCACTTATCAAAGTTTTGAGGTACGGTTTCCACAGTAGTATAGTAAATTGGCTGGAAGTAGTTGCCAGGCGCGGATTATACGGGTAAGGGTTTTACTAACCTATGTACGTATCCGCGTCTGGAAGGAAAGTAGTATAGTAAAAAATAACAATTGCGTTTATTGGTGAGGAGAGTTTTTTTAAATTTCGTCAACACCCAAAACCCATCAAAGGAACGATCTTCTAATGATGACCAATATCAATTTATCAGCATAAACCAACATCAATATTTTAAACAAAAATTAATAAATAAGAATGCGATATCAAGAAATAAAAATTGCTATCATTTTAATAAATTATTCCGGAAAAAACAGAGGAGTTGGCAACCATAGGAAGATAAATCTTAAAGCTTATTTAAAAAATCTTCTTCATAGAGACTGTTTGATGTAAGTTCTCACACAACTTATTTATCTGTCAGTAAAATTATACTCCTGTTGAGGCATCAAATTTTATCCTAGCATGTTCTGAGAGTTTGAACAATTCTGGAAATTTGTACAGTGCGTCAAAAAGAAAAATGTTTCATCCTGAATAACTCTTGCATCATGTACTTAATGGTTTGAGAAACTTATATATATATGCTATAACTCATATAAACTCAATATATTTAACCTCATATATATGTTATTAAGTTGATTACAGCAGACGATATTTTAAGAAAGTCGAATAAAATTATACACTTTAAACTTTTATATACTTAACTGATGTAAAAATTTGTTAACCATACAATTCAATATTATTAAATAAAATAATAAGAAATAACTTTAAGCAGTTTTCTTTTGCATTTATTTATCCTTGGATAAAAAAATTTATAATTGTGAACAAGTTTTTCAATTTGCTTAAAAAATTCTCGAGATTTGACGAAATATGTAAAAAGTAAAATTAACAGTAAGGCGTCCAAACTTTCGACCGCTCTCCCGACTAAATTATTGAGACCATATTTTCAGATTGTGGCTACCCTCCTAACCATATTTTGAGGGTCCCGAATCCGTCGAAAAAAGGGCATGTTTAATCAAAGAAAATATATTTGTGCCTGATTTCGTAACTTAAAATATCGTCTAAACTAATTAACATATTTGAGGTCATCCCCTTAAACCATTAAGGTCCCAGTACGTGAAGATCACTAGATCAAATATCCCTAAATCAAATAGATAAGATAATCACTAAATAAAAAGTTATTCAGAATGTTCCATTTTTTTCGCTGAGTGCAACAGCTTGGAGTAATATCTTTATTTTTCAAACAGTTAATAACTTTTTCACCTGACAATGTCAAAAGGGGCCCAACATTCAAAATATATTTTTTCTGCGATGTAAACATAAAACTAATTCATTTTAGATTATAAAGAATAAAAATATGAGCTATAATCTTGTTTAAAAAAAAGTAATAATCATAGAATATAAGTAAAAGTTTCAAGGAATTAAAATACATAAATAGTTTGAGTAATATTTTTGATCATTACACAAGTTTAATATTACTTTTCTCGACTGCTGGATTTAAAATAGATTTACATTCAAATTCCCAAATATGTTTTAATGAATAATTTAAAATAAAAATAAAAAATTTAGTGCACTAAGATGGAAAATAAAAATTGCATACCTAATATCACTTGCACATATAATATACATTTCCATACATAATCTAAGTCATTTTAAGTCACATAGCAAAATTTTATTTGAACTTTTCTCAGCATTGTTGCATTGAAAATGCTAAGGATTTTGTAGAAATTGACTCATGGCTTAGAGCAGCGGTTCTTAACCTATGAGTCGCGAAGCATATTTCTTGGGTCGTGCTGAGTCGAACCAAAAAAGTTAGTAATACACCAAATAATAAGTAATACCAACACTTCCTTGAAGAAGTCATTGTGGCTTACTCAGCCTAGACTTAATGAGGTACCTGGGTAACTCTATACCCTTAATCCTCGTTCATAATAATTAAAAAAGGCAATTTATTCAATTCAAGAAGGCAAACAATTAATAGAAATACAAAGTGACCAAGCACTTCAATACAATTTCTACAAAAACACTGAATCTTTATATGCTTTCTGGTTAAAATTAAAAACCGAAAAGCCAATAATTGTTAAAGAAGTCCTAAAAGTATTATTTCCCTTTTCAACAACATATATATGTGTGAGGCTGGTTTTTCGGCTCTGTGTGTAATCAAAAACAATTACCGGAACAAGTTAAATCCTGAAATAGATATAAGGTGCTCCTTGACAAGCATTCAACCGAGGTTTGAAGATCTTTCAAAATGTATTTAAGTACAAGGTTCTCATTAAAGCTGTATGACTTGCATTTAAAATTTAAAAGACTTAACATATGTATTGATATTTCTTTTTTTTTTTTTTAGGAATAAGTTAAAATGTCAATTATTTTCAAAAAGTTATAAATTTATTTTAATTTGGTCAATAAAAATTATTAAAAACACTTGATTATTAATTAAATTTTTCTTGGATCAAATAGTACTTTTGTTTATTATTAAAAAAATAAATAAAAAATTTGTAAGTTAAAAAAAATCATCGTAGGATTGAAGATTTTTTTTAAAAAAAACGATCTAAAATAAAGCAATGAAAGAATTGTGACTTTTTTTTGGGTCACGACATGAACATATTTCTCAAATTTGGGTCGCGGCTTAAAAAGGTTAAGAACCACTGACTTAGAGCAAGGGTTCTCAAAAAATGGTGTTTAAAAATATGCATAGGATAAGCCATATGATTTATTTTTATTGTTTTAGAATTTAAAGTTTGATCATTTATATATTTTACTTATTAAAGTTATAAAAATATTTTTAGCGGAGTATGCCTTAAATCTATTATTTCATACAAATTTAATGCTGCAACATAGAAAATACTGAGAGTACAAACAATATAAAACATGCAAATATTATTTTTTTCATATATGTTTTAGTGACACACTGAAACTGGGAAGTTCAGTATCATGGAGAGAGGCAATGAAAGTGATCACTAAAGGAAGGACTGATAAAATAGACGCTTCAGCTATTTTGGAATATTTCAAACCTCTCAATGATTGGCTAAAAGAGCAAAACAAAGATGAATTTATTGGATGGAAAAATGATAATTCAATGGTTTGCCCATAAGTTTACCAGCATTGATGTTTTCCTTATTCAGCAATGTTTATATTACATTAGATCAGTATTGTATAAAAAATTATAAGCAATTATTGTCTAAAAATTTGATTTTTAGGTTTTAAAATAATAAAACAATGTTTGAATAAATTGATTAATTTTATGCTAATTCTGAAATTACAATTAAAATTGAGAAATATGCACAGATCATAAGAAACTTTTCAATGTAAACTCCATAAAACATATTTGAAAAAAAAAAGAGAAGTATAAACCTTTTTCTTTTGTTTAGTTTAACAAATAAATTTCACACTCTCAAGATAGCAGGAAAATCAAGTATAAAATTTTAATTTATACAATTTTTTATGTATTGTGATAGTTTCAGAAGCCCCTGATTTGATAGATAAAAATACATGCTGCAAGAATACAAAATTTTATCAGACCTCAATTTCGAAATACAAAAAAAAACCCTCAAAAGCCACAGAAAAAAAGTAGAAAAATCACTCGATTCGTTCTAACACAAATTGTTCAACATATCAACAAACTAAAAAAAAACTTGATTTGCTGCAACTTTGAATAAAGCAAACATTCTAAAGTAAGACAAAAATAATTACGCATTAAATAAAAAAAGAATTGGTTTAAAATAAACTTACATACACTGTGATTTTTCCAAAAAAAAACTCATTTTCAACTTCGAAAAATATTCAACATAAGGTTTTGAGAAGGAACTCTTCAACATAGGAATTCAAATTAACATTAGGTGGATTTGTAATGCCAAAGGGAAAAATATTTTTCGACACATCAAGGTTTTCGAGACATAGAAGTTCAAGATATCAAGAGTATACTGAATTATACTTGGTTATTTAAATCAACTTAACAAACTTATTCAAGTCATATAATTGTTATCCTTTTACTTTTGTTTAAAAAAATGTTCAGATCTTCATGTAATTTTTTTCACTTCTTTATTGCTTCATATGAAATGAAAATTTTTGATTCAGATAGTTGCATTTAGTTAACAACTTTTTGTTCTGAAAATTTCAAAGTAATACAAAACAGGTTCTTTCCCTGAGAAACTGATTTGAAATAAAGTAAAATATTGACTTTTCAAAATAAAAAAGTGACTAATTTTACTTATTTAAAAAAAACGACCAAAAAAAAGTCTATGCAGCACAAAAAATTGCATTATTACATGCATTTGACTTAACTTACTTAACAACAAAAAAGACAGTTTCAACAAAAAAAATTTGCAAAATAATTTTTTTGGTTTTTTGTGAATTTTAAAAAATTACCCTCAGATAAAACACTTCTTTAACAGCTAAAAATTATTGCAGCATCAAAAACAGAAATAATGTAGTAAATAATAACAGAAAACTTATTAAATGTTTTAAGCACCAGTCAGTCTAAGTAAATACTATATATATGCCAGGGTTAGTTATAAGACATTTGCCAAAATCTTGAAAAAATCCTCAAAAATAATAATAATAATAAAAGAAATCTCGAGACATCTTAAATAGTTTCTTGCTCCGCTTCCAGAACAGTTTAAAAGAGAGAGAAAACTAGACAAGAAATTATTTTTAAAAAATATTGAGAGCAATTCCGTTTTAACCAACAAAGTTCATTAACGATGGAAATAAGACAACTAGAAGTGACAAGCAAAAAATAGCATAAGGAAATAAACATTAATAACAAATACAAAGCCAACAAGTAAGAATTCTGAGAATTTTTCTAAAAGAATTTCCAGCATAAAAGTGGCAGGCTACAATTAACTTCGAAAAAAGCTAATAATATTCTGTTCTTTTAATGCTTCATTTAGGTGAATTTTTTCCCCAAAAAAATCTTACATTGAAGACTTGTATTCCCCACGCACACAAATGAGAAGTTTTTTTTTATCTTACACTCATCTTCTCTAGTTTAAACAATTTTTCAATCAAACTAGTTTTGGTTTTCCTTTTTGCTTGCAATTCCTAGAAAAATTTACTAATGATAACTATTTACATGAAGTGACCAAATTTGGCAAATAGGAATTTTTTATAAAATTATTTTTTTTTGACCAATTAAAAGGAAGTGATCAATTAGGAATTTTATAACCTAAAAAAAAAAAAAGACATTTAATGACTGATAAAAAAAGTAACAGAGAAAAAAAGGGACTTGGTAAAAACGTAAAGTTAATGGTTTAAATTAAAAAAGATTTTTTTAACAAAAGAATATAAAAATATTTGAAGAATTAAACTTTTGCAAGCAAACAAGCACATTTATTTATAAATACATTTAATTAGTTAATTCAATTAATGCTTCTACTACATCTCCATGATGCTCTCTTAGTTTCAATTCCGCAATATTTCTTGATATTTCCATTTCTTTCATCTATAGAACAAACAAAAGCAATTAAAATACATTAATAAATAAATTTAGAAATATATATTTCTACATAAAGGACAAATTTATCACATAAATTTTGAGGTGAGGTACATTTTTACATTACGAGATAGGCTATTAAATAACAGGACTGATGCTCCCTTAAAAGAACTATGCATACCATGAACGTGAATGAATGACAGATAAGTAGCGTGAAGCCTTTTTTTCTTTTCTTTTTTTTGCAAATTTGTTCTATCCTATGAATGTAAATAATTTAGTCTAACCATACATTTTGTTCCCATTCTTTTATCAAAACAAAAATTAGAAAATTTTGGGACTTTTTTTGAAAAAATTAAGAACTTTTTTTTGGTTAAAAAAACTAAGGATGTTGAAAATAATATTGTATAATAAAATTATTTATTATCAAATATATCATATCATCATATATTAATATATACCTACCCACAGTGTCAGTACCAATTATTTATCTGCGGAAAAAAAAATCATTACATTGCAAGTATTGATATAATTGTATTCATTACAAAACAGCTTAATTTTTAGTACATTTGGGAATTTTAAAAAAAGTTACTACTTTTCAAAAATTTACAATTACGTGAAGTGAAATATCCTTCCTTTTCACTTAATTCTTCATTGTTTCCAAGAAACAATTGTACCTTAACAGTCTGGAATGCAAAAAAAAAAAATTTGTTACTTCTTTTCTAAAAGCATGTGCACTACCAGTAGAATTGAATTCCTTGAACTTTATCCATACGAAAGGTCAATGTTAGAACTGGAGAAAAAAAATAAATGATCTCTCCAAGATTCAGTGTCCCACTTCCTCAATACCCTATTCTTTTCTTTTCGAATGCTCTATCTCCAATGAGACCTTCATTCTAGGTAAACAGAAAAATAATTTAATAAAACAACCTCAGCAAATTCATGCTTTCTTCCCCTTGTCTGTAGCTAAGCTCACACACACCTTTTGTCTCTTAAAATGTTCTATCCTCGACGCAGAGTTTCATTCTAGACGAATGGACTTTTTGTTTTAAATATTTTTTAAAGATAAAAAATTTTCCATTCAACTAGCAGCACTGGTAATTAAGGACTTTTAAAAACATTGAACCAAAAATAAGTACTTTCAATGACCTTTTCTTTTTCAAAATAAAAATAAAGCAGTTTTTAAGGACCATGGTAACCTTGTAAAAATAGAGCAACAAATCTTTCATGAAATTTTTCTAGACCTGAGATGAAGAAAACAGCCCTACTGAAACAGTATAGAAAGTGTATGGCAATAAATTTTTATCACATACGCAAATTTTTTAGTGGTTTAAGCATTTTCAAGATGGTTGAGAAGACGGTGAATATGATTCACGTCCTGGTTGCCCTTCCTTGTCAAAAGTGAAAGAAGTGAAAAAAGTTGGTAATCTGATTCATTCTGATTAATGGTTAACTAGTCATGTAATTTTTGAAACTGTAGAAATTGACAAAGATTGTACAAAATCCAAATTGTGGAAGAAGTCATAAGTACTCCATTGAGACATCATACCATTCTGCATTGTCCATCAAAACGTTTTTAGCTAAATACAACATCCTAGAGTCAAACTGTCCACCTTATTCGCCTGATCAAACACCATGTAAGTTTTGTCTGACACCCACAGTCGAATCCGCATTTTAAAAAAAAGAAAGAAGATTCCAGTCTGTTGAAGTTTTAAAAGTTAAAGCAGCATTCATCATGAAGGAGTTCACAGAAGATTTCTAGCACTGTTTCGAACAGTGGAAATTTTGCATGGTAGCAGGGATAAAGTAGGACTGTGTATCAAAGGTGATAACTAAAAATGTTTGAATTTAAAATACAGTGTAAATACCTCGCATATTACATTTCCAATTAGAAAAATAATCAATAAAATAAAATAATATATATATACAGTGGAACCTGTAAAAGTGACCACCTGGGTAAAGTGAGAATCTGAGTAAGGTGACCATTTTCTGCACGTTTTATTTAAAGAGTCCTTTTTAAAGACTCTTCATAAAGTGACCACCTCTATATAGTGACCATTTGACTTGGTCCCNCGGGTCCTTGGAACCTAGGACTTCTAAATGTCTGGATTATTTTTTTACTGAAGCAGGTCCTAATGTAAAACAGTAATCCCTTTTTATTAAAGATTTACATGAAAAGTAAATAATTTATGACTAGAAAAAATAAAAAGCAATCAGCAATTCTGCCTGATTCTGCCTGACTCAAGAAAGTACGGGTCCTTGGAACCTAGGACTTCTAAATGTCTGGATTATTTTTTTACTGAAGCAGGTCCTAATGTAAAACAGTAATCCCTTTTTATTAAAGATTTACATGAAAAGTAAATAATTTATGACTAGAAAAAATAAAAAGCAATCAGCAATTCTGCCTGATTCTGCCTGACTCAAGAAAGTACGGGTCCTTGGAACCTAGGACTTCTAAATGTCTGGATTATTTTTTTACTGAAGCAGGTCCTAATGTAAAACAGTAATCCCTTTTTATTAAAGATTTACATGAAAAGTAAATAATTTATGACTAGAAAAAATAAAAAGCAATCAGCAATTCTGCCTGATTCTGCCTGACTCAAGAAAGTACGGGTCCTTGGAACCTAGGACTTCTAAATGTCTGGATTATTTTTTTACTGAAGCAGGTCCTAATGTAAAACAGTAATCCCTTTTTATTAAAGATTTACATGAAAAGTAAATAATTTATGACTAGAAAAAATAAAAAGCAATCAGCAATTCTGCCTGATTCTGCCTGACTCAAGAAAGTACGGGTCCTTGGAACCTAGGACTTCTAAATGTCTGGATTATTTTTTTACTGAAGCAGGTCCTAATGTAAAACAGTAATCCCTTTTTATTAAAGATTTACATGAAAAGTAAATAATTTATGACTAGAAAAAATAAAAAGCAATCAGCAATTCTGCCTGATTCTGCCTGACTCAAGAAAGTACGGGTCCTTGGAACCTAGGACTTCTAAATGTCTGGATTATTTTTTTACTGAAGCAGGTCCTAATGTAAAACAGTAATCCCTTTTTATTAAAGATTTACATGAAAAGTAAATAATTTATGACTAGAAAAAATAAAAAGCAATCAGCAATTAATATAGCAGTAATTTGGCAAAGAATTAAAATAAAAATTTTCATATCAGCTACCTTTTATTTTCGAAACCTAATAAGATTCTTATTTTTTATGTGTACACACACTTATGTATAATGCTGATTTGATCATTTTAATTAACCCTTCGCCAAGGATAATATAAAATCATTATCAATGAGAATTGAAGTGCATGTTACTTGTATGTAAAAAAAGAAATTACTCGAGGCAGAGCTCATTTTAGGCAGAAAAAAGGGCAGGGTGAAAAAATTTTAAAAAAGGGCATTATTATTCTAAAAAGGCAGTAATTTCTTTCTATGGGCTTTACATGTTCTATTAAAAATCATTGTCAATTAGTAAACGGAATTTTTTCTTTTTGCTTTATTAAATGTAGCAAAGCAATCATATTAATTACTAATTTTTATAAATAAATTAACATATATATCGAGTTGATGAGCTAATTAGCTTAGTAATTTATTTGAAATGCATACATATATTAATAAAATAATAAATGTATGTTTTTAAATGTCTGTAGTTATGATTTAATAATTAATATGATTAATAATAATTATAATTTAATGATAGGGGAAGTAACTGCAAACTTTCAAAGACAAGTGCAACAAGGGGGTGTGATGGCTATTTTTCCTTTCCCCTATAAATCTATGCATTGACAGCAATGACAAACTAAAAAAAAGAGTTGAAAATAACAAAAGTTTACGAAATCCATTGCAGAGTTTGGGGGGGAAATAAAGAAGGGTTAAGGAAAGAAAGGGCAAAAAGTTATGGAGTCTATTAAACACACTATAGTGCTCAAATGGAGTCACTGACTTACATTGGAAAATTAGTCTCATCTAATTCTTCTTTTCCTTCTTTTTACACTAAAACAAAGTGTATTAACTTCAAAAGTTCATAACATTTGCTTAAAATGTGTGTAATAAGTAAGGATGTATACTAAGAAGAATGAATATATATTATGAATATATATATATATATTGCAAAATTATGTTCATGTCAGCAATTCTCATGCCCACTCCTGTTTAATTTAAGTTGGCAATTTTGGGTCATTTTATGAGTTCAAAATCACTTTGCTCCGTTATTTTGTTTTATTTTTGATTATTTAAAAAAAAAACTAATTTCATTGATTCCATAAATATGGAAAATTAATATATGCTTCAATAATTTTGATTACCAAATACAGTTGAACTCGTTAATAAAGAGCTTCAGGAGACACAGTATTTCCTCATTATAACCAAGTGCTTGTAAAAAAAACAAGTTCAAGAAAAAAATTTAAAAAGTTAATGCATATTTTATTAATTATAAATTAAATACATATGTTCTTTATTTTTTTATTTCTGTTTGGTACAAATGAAATTGGTTAATTTGTTTTGAATTGTCGTATTTTTTCTTTGTTGTTTAAATAGGTAATTTCCTTTTCTAATCAATATGCTTTATATATACATTTCTTTTTAAGTAAAATGTTTTATTGAATTTTGCATAAATATTTTAAATTTATTCACTTCAATTTTTTTTTTTTTTTTTTTNTTTTCAAAATTACTATTTGTAGGTAAGTGATGTAGAACCAGTTTTAAGCTTGTTAAATGCTCAAGATCCTCATGATGCCTCTACGTGGGAAACTCGTTATATGTTGCTCTTATGGATGTCCATAATTGTAATGATACCTTTTCATATGCACCGCTTAGATGATACAACTGATGAAAAATGTGAAAAGAAACCAGTTATGCAAAGGTATAATAAATTGATATGCTATTATTTTTCTGGAAAATTTAGCAGATTATTTTTTTATATACATCTCTATTTATATACTCCTAACAAAACATTTTCATTACTTTAAAATTTTATTTTTTATGATTGTTTGGGTACATTGTGGCAACTTGAGTCTAGAATTTGGTTTGATCCCTTCAAAAGGGAAATTTGGAATTGTGTCTTCCATAACTGACTGAAAATTCAATCAGATTGAAAATAAACATGGCGGGATAAACATCCTTTTGGATTGGTAAGATCCAATTTGAATATGATGACAATTCGTATAAAATTAACTGGATCTTAATTTTTTTGTGTAGTTTGTTTACTTATGCTGTTCTATAAAAGAACAATTAAAGAATCACTACAACTAGAAACAGTGATAACGAATAAGTACATCCTGCATTTTATGCTCTTTAGATGTACAGTGCACACGAAAAGAAAGAAAAAAAAACGGATCACCCTGAATAACTTTTGATTTAATGATTGGATCATCACATTCTCGGACTCAATCTTAATAGTTCAAGGGGTGACCTCGAATATGGTAATTAATTAGTGCAGACGATATTTTAAGTTTCAAAATCAGACACAAAAATGTACTTTCTCTGAATATGCATACCTTTTTTTTTTTTTTTTTTTTTTTTTATGAATTCGGATTTTTGACCCCCAAAATATAGGGGGTAGCCTCAATCTGGGAAATATTGTCCCCTTAGTTTGATCAGTTGAGCTCTCCTAAGTATGGATGCCTTAATGTTAATTTTACTTTTTGCGTATTATGCTATATCTCAAGAACTTTTAAGGCAAATTTTGCACACAATTATAAAATTGGTTTTCCCCAAAATTACCTTGCAAAAAAAAAAATTTTGAATATTTATCAATTTATTTAATAATATCTAAAAAAATTTGAATAGTAAGGTTTACAAATTTTTACATTATTCTGAAGTACCTAATTTTACATGGCAAAATACAAAACATGAGAGAAATCATACAAATAATTTCTAAAAAATCTAATTTTAAACATACGATTTTTTAAGAAATTTGATTTCTCTGGAACTATTCAGCCGATTTTGCTTTCTTTACATCATTTAAAGTATTTAATTATATTTTGCCAAATAAAATTAAATACTTTAAAATGATGTAAAGAAAATTGTAGACCTTGCAATTCAAAATTTTTTTGGCTATTAATTAATGAAATAATTTTTTTGCATGGAATTATCTTAAGGTAAAAAAAAACTATAATTGCGTACAAAAATGTTTCAATTTGCTTGAAAAGTTCTCAAGATATGGCGAAATACGTGAAAAGTGGAATTAACGTTAAAGGGTCCAAATTTTGAACCACTCTCTTGATCAAACTATGGCTACCATATTTCCCAGATTGCGACTACCCCTTTATTTTAAGGGTCAGAAATCTGTCGGAAAAAAAGGTATGTTTATACAGAGAAAGTACGTTTTTGTGTCTGATTTCGTAACTTAAAACATTGTCTGCATTTATTGGCATATTTGAGCTCACCCCCACGAACCTTGAAGATTGAGTCTTAAAACGTAAAGATCCGTTCATTAGATCAAAAGTTATTCTAGGTAATCCGCATTTTTTTGGCCCACTGTACAATTAATTAAAATTATTAATTTCTAACAATATATAGCCGCGTGAATTTTTACAAAGCATCTGTATCTTTTGATGCTAGGTTATTTAGTTAAGTGATATAAAGCACTGTTTTCCTGACTAGAAAATTGAGAGTTTTGTCCTCCATCATTGTAACTACATACTCTCACCTAAAATGTAATCCTGAGTTATAGAAATTAGAGTTATTTTTTCAACGTAATTTTTTTTTTTTTTTTGATAGAATCATAGATGTTATCAAACTATATTTGAGTGTGAGTGATAAAGCCAGAGATTCTGCTGCATTCTTAGCTGCCCAATTTATAACAAGACCTGATGTTAAAGATGCTTATTTAGGAGAATATTTGGATTGGTGCTTGAAAGTAAGAGTTTTGAGTTCTAATATTTTAGGATATTCTACTCAAATATTAGCATGTATTTTTGTCACATTCTTTTTCTTTTTTTTTTTTTTTTTTTTTTTTTTTTTTTTTTTTTTTTTTTTTTTTTTTTTTTTTNACTAGAGATCATTAGACTGAGCCTACTTTTACTACTTACAGATCCTCTTTGTACTTAATCAAATTTACTTAATTTTAAACCTTCCATAGTATTAAATATAGATGTTACGCAATGATTACGCCTGATATACATTTTTAGAGTTTTTGTCAAAAATTTAATGTACATTAGGGGTTATTAAAATAAAATTTTTTTGTATGGGAGAAGTAAAAAATTTTTCAAAATCTGTAAAGTCACTAATGGTGAAGGAGGGATAAAAAACATCAGTACCAGTTATATTACTTGATGTAACTGGTCGTGTTTTAATAATTGCCACTTTATTTTTGTTTCTTCTTGCAATAAATAGTGATGTTTCCTGTATAGTGGTTATGGAACATCGTCTATGCTTGTTCATGCTTTTTTTTTCCATTATTGTGTCAGTCAAAAAATTCTAGTGCCTTTAATGTAAGTTTTCTTTAAAAAATATAATTCTTTGTACATAATCTCCTTTAAAATTATTTCTTTGATCATCTACTTTGTTTTTTGAAAAACCTATCTAAATCTTAGAGAATTTTCTGGATGTTGTTACACTATTTCTCTATAGTTTTGATCATCACTTTCTATTATGTGTGTTCACATAACACGATATGATATCATCAATATGTTACATGTTGTGTTACACCCATAACATCTAGATTTTAATTTTTTGAAAATGTTTTAAATGTTGATAAAAATCAGTGTATGTGTAAATGTCACCAAGACTTATTTTTAATAAAAATAGAACTGCTCAATTTTTTATTAACAGAGTTATAAGAATTTTGGTATCTTCGAGGGCAACATTTGTCAATGGTGAATTTGCTCATTATGTATATATTAATATTTTAATACAACAATTTAATTCCTGTTAAATAAAATAAACAACTATGAGAGTACGTGCCAGCGATTCTGCCTGACTCGAGAAAGTACGGGTCCTTGGAACCTAGGACTTCTAAATATCTGGGTCATTTGTTTGCTTAAAGCAGATCCTAATGTAAAACAGTAATCCCTTTTTTTTAAAGATTTATATGAAAAGTAAATAATTTATATTATGAAAAAATAAAACGCAATCAACAATTAGTATAGCAGTAATTTGACAAAGAATTAAAACAAAAATTTTCATATCTGTTACTTTTTAAAGTTCAAAACCCTGAAATATTTTCTATAGCTAATAAGATTCTTATTTTTTATGTGTACACACACTTATATATAAAGCTGATTTGATCATTTTAATTAACCCTTCGCCAAGGAAAATATAAAACCATTCTCAATGAGAATTCAATTGCATGTTACTTGTATGTAAAAAAAGAAAATGAGGTAGCTTTAGCATGATTTTAGATTAACATCAAATAGGAAAAAACTCAGTTCTCATAAAAAATGTCAAAGAACAATGGACATTTCAATTGCTAACAAACACAAATCACTAAAAATATGAAAATTTTTACATCATAAAAGTTTTGATTTATTTATTACTGTGAAAGTTAATAAAAGTCTCAGTTTTCATTACAGTAAAAAAGAAAAATATTCTCGATTTTAACTATTTTTAGCTTATGCCCACTCCTGTTTCATTTAAGTTGGCAATTTTGGGTCATTTTGTGAGTTTCTAAATCACTTTGCTCCGTTATTTTGTTTTATTTTTGATTATTTTAAAAAAAACTAATTTGATTGATTCCATAAATATGGAAAATTGATTTATGTTTCAATAATTTTGATTACAAAATACAGTCGAACTCGTTAATAAAGAGCTTCAGAGGACTGCAGTATTTCCTCATTATAATGAAGTGCTTGTAAAAAAAAAACAGGTTCGAGAAAAGAATTTAAAAAATTCAGACATATTTTATTAATTATAAATTAAATACATACATTATTTATTTTTTATTTCTGTTTGGCACAAATGATGTTGGTTAATTTGTTTTGCATTGTCTTATTGTTTCTTTGTTGTTTAAATAGTTAATTTCCTTTTCTAATCAATGTGCTTTGTAACATTTCTTTTTAAGTAAAATGTTTTATTCAATTTTACATAAATATTTTAAATTTATTCACGTCAATTATTGTTTTTTTTTTTTTCAAAATTACTATTTGTAGGTAAGTGATGTAGAACCAGTTTTAAGCTTGTTAAATGCTCAAGATCCTCATGATGCCTCTACGTGGGAAACTCGTTATATGTTGCTCTTATGGATGTCCATAATTGTAATGATACCTTTTCATATGCACCGCTTAGATGATACAACTGATGAAAAATGTGAAAAGAAACCAGTTATGCAAAGGTATAATAAATTTATATGCTATTATATTTCTAGAAAAATTTAGCAGATTATTTTTATATCTATATGTATATATATATTTATATACTTCTGCCATAACATTTTCATTACTTTAAAATATAATTTTTGTATGATTGTTTGGACGCATTGTGGCAACTTGAGTCTTGAAATTTGAAATTGTGTCTTCCATAACTGACTGAAAATTCAATCAGATTGAAAATAAACATGGCGGGATAAACAACATTCTGTTTGATTGGTAAGATCCGATTTGAATATAATGACAATTAATATAAAATTAACTATATCTTAATGTTTTTGTGTAGTTTGTTTACTTATGCTGTTCTATAAAAGAACAATGAAAGAATCACTACAACTGGCAACAGTGCATCCAACCTAATAACGAGTAATTATGCCCTGCATTTTACGTTCTTTAGATGTACAGTATACCAAAAAAAATGGATCACCCTGAATAACTTTTGATCTAATGATTGGATCATTGCATTCTAGGACTCAATCTTAATAGACCTGGGATATGCTAATTAATTAGTGCAGACAATATTTTAAGTTACAAAATCAGACACAAAAGTATACTTTCTCTGAATACACATGCTTTTTTTTTTTGTTGTTGTTGATGGATTCAGATTTTTGACCCCTAAAATCTGTATCCTCCATCTGGAAAATATGTTTCCCATAGTTTGGTCAGATGAGCGCTCCAAAGTTTGGATCCTTTAATGTTAATTTTACTTTTTGCGTATTATGTTATATCTTATTAATTTGAAAACTTTTTGCACACAATTATAAAATTGGATTATCCCAAAATTAACTCACAAAAAATTAATTTTTGTGAATATTTATTAATTTATTTAATAATATCTAAAAAAGTAATTCAATTGTAATATTTACAAATTTTACATTATTTTGAAGTATCTAATGTTACATGGTGAAATACAAAACATGAGAGAAATCATACAAATAGTTTCTTAAAAAAATCTAAATTTAAATATATTACTTTTTTAAAAATTTGATTTCTCTGGAACTATTCAACTGATTTTGTTCAAATTTCGTATTTTGCCAAGTAAAGTTAAATACTTTAAAATGATGTAAAAAATTTTAGACCTTACAATTCAAAATTTTTTCAAATATTAATTAATAGAATAATAAATATTTAATGAAATTTATTTTTTGAATGGAATTATCTTAAGGTGAATGAATTTTATAATTGCATGCGAAAATTTTTCAATTTGCTTGAAAAATGGGGAAATATCCTTGCAACTACATACTTTCACCTGAAATGTAAACCTAAAACTGCCGTGATAGAAATTAGAGTTATTTTTTCAACGTAAATTTTTTTATAGAATCATAGATGTTATCAAACTATATTTGAGTGTGAGTGATAAAGCCAGAGATTCTGCTGCATTCTTAGCTGCCCAATTTATAACAAGACCCGATGTTAAAGATGCTTATTTAGGAGAATATTTGGACTGGTGCTTGAAAGTAAGAGTTTTGAGTTCTAATATTTCAGGTTATTCTACTCAGATATTAGCCTGTATTTTTGTCACATTCTTTATATNATTTTTTTTTTTTTTTTTTTTTTTTTTTTTTTTTTTTTTTTTTTTTTTTTTTTTTTTTTTTTTTTGTTTAAATTTAGTCATTCAAAACTTCAAGAGTACATTATAGTCAGGGAAAAGTTTGGCCATTATTGATTAAACTAATTTATACTCATACAATATGGCCACTCTCTCTCGTTCGGAAACAAGGAAAATCTGGAATCTTTCGGAGTTCACTGTCAACTCTGGATATCAATGAATCATTAGCAATTAATAAAATGTTCTTACACAAATTTAACTCAAGTAGATTTCAATTCATTATTAGGCATTATAGTCTTATGTTACCAATCATGTCTGATAAAAACAGCAAGTGGTACTATTATTTATTTATCTTGTCATCAAGGGTTCCTTTAATATAAAATTCTAACTAATTTTCTTAACTCCTTAAAGCATTAAGATAATGAACATTCTTGAAGTGTATTCGTATCTATCTTGCACTTTTAATTAAAACTAAAAGTGAATTTATCGAATAGGAAATATAATTTTTATTTAATATTCATGAATTTGAATATATTTTATTTTTTTGTATAATTTTGCTTAGAAGGGTGAAAATTAGCGGCATCAATAAATTTAAAAATAATCAGATTAAAAAATATAATATAAGTAATCAGATATAAAATAATCAAATTTAAAAATAATCAATAAATTTAAATTAAGATAGTAAGTGACAGTTTTACCTCAAAAAAAAAAAAATTTCAGTTTTTGAATGTCTTATTTATGTAAATGTAAACAAATTTCGATTAAAATCAAGCTTATTTAAATTGCTAAAATACGTGAAGTGTTTGGAATTTTACCATAAAAATCTTGAATGCAATGCTCCTCAGTTGAAAAATTTACTAAAAAAAGGTTGTAAGTATCATTTAGTCTATTTGAATAAATTAGCTCTCTTTTACTGCTTCACTGATTCTATTTGTTTCTGGTGTATTAGTAAAGGTATTGCATACAAAGCTTTGGAAGCTTTATTAATTTGAACTAAACTTTTTTCTTCTTAACTTTTTTTGAAGGTTTTAATTGCCATTTTGATTATTTTTTATCTTGATTTTTAGATGCTCATCTCTAGTGATAATCAAATCAGTTTGCAGGCTGGTATACTTTCTTCGTTAGCTTTGATTTTCAAACATGGAAAAAGGGATGATGTTAAAATGTATGGTGCTCCTGTTCTTCAGAAAATTCTTGATTGTGGTTTTAAAGACAGTGGAAGCTCAGTTGTGAGAAAAATGGCTCTAAAAGTTATTCAAAGAATAGGTATAATGAAAGTTCCGAAATATAATTTTATCTATTTGAAAGTTCCATGAGTACCATATTTTATTTTATTTCAGTTTAGTTATGAAAAATATTTTTTAATTTTTTTATTCAGTTCTATATCCACTATGATTATGATATATGTTACTTTTTTTTATACATAGCTATGCCGAACTAAAGGTAACACCTAAAACTTGTCACAATTTAGTTAGGGTATTTTTTGAAGAATATGAAACATTTATCTTTTATTTTATTAGATATGTATTGCTTTAGACATTTGACCATTTCTAGGTTTTTGTCACAGCATTTATTGTGTTAAACAATTTCTTTTAAAACTGCATATAGGTAACATAAATTTTGCTAGTAATAGCAACTAAATGGCAGAATGGTTTCTTTTTTTTATCATTTCAGTTCAACCACTTTGGTAAAAGGTTAAATTCATAAGATTTTTCTGAAACTAAACTACAGGAGTCTTCTTATACATAAATCTTAGTGGCTTAAAGAAAAGTGTGAAAGCATATACCAGAAACTATAATAGAATACCATAAATAATTAGCACATAATATTAACTTCCATAAAGGAAATTTACTTTAATCTTTTAACTTTTTTTTTTTGTTTGCAACCTTTATTGAATAGGAAAAATTTTGCAGTAAAGTACATAAACTGTTTTTAAGAAGAATTTTGTGAGTGACCTTTATTGTGAGTAACCCATTTCTAGCTTTATCTGTACACATGTATAATCTATCTATCTAATGAACTCCCTTCTTGATTAACTTGATGCAGTGTCAGTGACTATGGTTACAAAGTTGAAATATTTTAAATAGGGATGTGTGGTTGAGATTAAGGACAAGTTTTGACCATAGTTGGCGAGAAAAGTTTATGAAACTCCCCTCTCTAAAATGTGTTCTTTCTTGTCATTTGCATGTTATCAACATTGCTCTAGTAAATTTCTCTAGTGTTATTTATAAAGGCAGCATTTTTTTTTTATTTCCATCATTTATAGAGTATGTTTCCATTTAACAGTTCTTATGTATTGTTGTATTAATTATTTACATTTTTTATAAATTTTTTAATTTTCGTTATATGATACGAAAGATGTTTTGTGAAAAAAGAATATTTTTTAATGTGAAATAATTTATTTAAGGATTAAGTTTCCTGAGAATAAAGATTGCGAGTTGGCGATATTGCCGTGGTAAACGATCGCTGACTGATAATCTTGCTTGTGGCGATGTTGCTCAAAATAATCCGAGTGTTGATGAGTCGATGGAAGATGAAAATTATGACATTCCAGATGAAACTGAGGATATTATTGAACAACTTTTAGTTGGCTTAAGAGACAAAGATACCATTATTCGGTAAATTTATCCATACATTAGTTTTTTTATCATTGTATTTCACTGTGTTTATTTGGTTCCTTCTTTTCTTACAAAATTTTTAAATTAATTTTTCATTGCAAAATTGAATTGTTATTAGTATTTTTTTTTTTCTTATTTATAATTTTTTTCAACTGTACAATTTGTCTATGAGATTTTAAGAAGTATTCATTTTATGTTTTTTATACTTTGAAATTATGGGAGAAAGCTATGATAGGTTTGACAAAATTGTACAAAAGAAAAAAAAACTTAGAAATGTTAAATAAACTATCACACCCTTTGCATTTTAATGTAGTAAAAATAAACATACATAAAGAGCATACATAATTTTTTTAAAGGCTTTAAGATTTGGTATGTTTTAGTTAACAAACAGGTTTATTTAGTCGCAACAATAAAGAAAAGTTTTTGTTGTAATTCTTCATTTATAAAATATCTGCTCATCAAGAAAAAGGCATGATAACCAACCAACATTTAGAAAAACTTAAAAATTTCAAAATATCTTTGTTGAAGAAATGATAATGATATAAATTTTAAGAAATAATTTATATTATAAAATTTGAAACAAGTTCGCTTAATGTTTTTTCTTCAGATTTATTTTAAAATATTTATATCTGTTGTTAAAATGTGATTGGGAGGAAAAAAGAAACACCTGCACATCAAAACATAAATGCACAAAAGATGGGTGAAAGTTATTTTTAATGGCTGCTAATATATATATTCAGGACCCACTCTAAGCATTCGCTACCTTGCCAAATGCAATAAAATTGTAAACTCGGCTCAAAAAATTTTGTTTTGGAAAATGATTTTTTCTACCCCAAAATATATATATTCCCCTCAATCCTGGAAAAATAAATTTTTAAAAAAAAGGTCAAAATGATCATTTTTGAATAACCCTATATTTTTATTCGATTACTGTAATTTCAGTTAGATATGTTGCATAATCAAGTAGAATTGTAATAAGTCAAGATAATGTAAGCATAAGCAACAAGAGAGATTACTAAAGCATAAGACAAACAACCATGAAATACAGATTAATAAGTTCGTTACCGGATATCACGATATCGCATGACGAAATTCATTCCTACAGTTGGTGTCAATGAAATAGATTAAGTGGTAGTTACAAGCATGTAATTACAAGCATGCTTATTATATATTTTATCTTTTCTTCTCACTAATCATCGTGCATTTTAAAGCTGAAAACTGACAATAAATTTTGTGACATTTTTCCTCCATCTGAATTTTAAAAGTCAACTATTTAGGTAAAAATAAAGAGTTACAACAGAAATTATATAATGAATTTCATAACTTTGCCATGTTTCTTGAATCTTTTTACATTCATTTGGAAGTCCTTGTCTTATCCAATCCAAGTCCTCCTACAATTATAAGTTGTATTTTGCACTGAACAAGGTGTCTCGTTGATCCTTCCTCTTTTTTCCAGATTTAGTGTATGGTTGTTTTATTTGTTTTCCTACATTTTTCCTATCTATCCTATTTACATTTAGTACAGCATAGTCAATGGCAACTTTTGTCCCACTAAGTTTTACTTGATGAACTGTAGAACTAAGACATCTCATTGAATCTCTAGTAACTCCTGTGAATAAATATATTAGTTATATAGATGATTTGCTGACTATGTTTTTTTATCTATCTTGAAAAATTTAATATTGTCAACAGGAGATTATAATTTTTATAATGGTGTCCTTACTTTTTTATAATTGTAAAGTAAAGAAAGCCCTATACTAATCTGCGTGTGCAATTTTGTTTCTCTCATAATCACAGAAAATAAGTTGGATTGTTTAAATCAAAAATTGATCTGTATCCTCTTTTTATAGTATATATTTTAAGTTCATATGATTTTTTAATGGTCTATTTTTCAAACTTTTTTGTAACCATTTCTCATTAAATTAAATAAAATAAACTATATAAAGCTGAAATTTAAAATAGGTGGTCTGCAGCTAAAGGTATTGGACGAATAACAAGTCGATTGCCAAAAGAATTAGCTGATGATGTAGTAACTTCTGTTCTTGAACTATTTAGTCTTAGAGAGAGCGATTCTGCCTGGCATGGTGGTTGTCTTGCTTTAGCTGAACTAGGTGAGAACTTATTTGTTTCAACTAATTATTAACAACTAATTTGTTTCAGGATGTAAAAGAAAGAAAAATAATGACTTTTTATTTAATTTTTTTTAAAAAAAACTTTCTATGTGAGCCATATTTCTTGCAAAAACAAATCTACTTTGTCTGCACTAAATTTAGCTTGCTACAACCATTTAATTATATAAAACTTTTAAATGCTCTGCTCTGGATGAAACTTTTGTAAATGCTCTGCAGGAACAATCCTAATTATTACTAATTTTACTCAAATTAAAAAAAAAATTATCAATTAAATGTGTTGTAGACTTAAATTATTATACTGAACAAAAGTGCTGTTATACATTGCCTTTTGCATTTCCTGAAAAAGTTTTAGTTTTCTGAGCTCCTGTGAAACCTTTGGCACTTGTTGAGCCTAAACACTACTTTTATGTTCTAGTGAGAAATTATTTAAATAGTATACTATTTTTAATCAATAAGAAAATATATTATTTATAAAATTCAGATAAAGCTCTCTCCTCAGAATTTCCATTTACTTTATCTTAAAAAACCTTTCTCTATGTTAAACATCTTTATTTTTTCGGACATGAAAACAAATATATAAGGCTTTAGAATATATTCTCTTGCTTTATACAATCTAATCTCATACAGGACTATGATTTCATTTCCTTGGTACATTGGTACTTTATTTACGTCACACTAGGGCTGCTCAAAGGACTATTGGCGTGGGTCTGGGAAATATCCCTGGGGATGATCCGAAGACATACCATCATAGTATTGGATCTCATTTATGAGGCCACTTCCTCAATTTAAACATAAATCTGAAGGGGAAGGAAGTTTTTCCAGATCCCTGTACCCATGGTTACTGCTCGGAGACTGATCACAGGACTTTCGCTTCCACAGATTTTACATAGCGCATTTACTCGGTGGGTCTTAGTGGTAAGTGGAATCGAGGATTTGACCACGGCCCTTTTAGACTGGAGTCTGATTCCATAACCGCTGGGCTACCACAGCGCCAATTCCTTATAAATTATTTCTATAAATTGGTTAAACAAAGTTTTCCTTTTACAAGACATTACCTTTGTGAAAGCTGTCAAATAACTTAATGATTTTTCTCACAGTCCACTTTAAATAATTCTTTTAGTTACTTGTAATTTAAGTTAAATATATTTGGCAAGGTTGGCTAATGCCTTTCAACTGAGATAAAACTATTTTTATTATGGTGTGTGTTACAGAGCTTGTGTTGAACAGAAATAAGCAGCCAGGAACATAATACACAATTAGCCTGTTTTTTAATTAACCAATATGACTGGTGCGCTCATTAGCTACTTGTAATTTAGGGCAGTGTATAAATTTGCAAATGTTGTATATTTAACTGCAACTTATTTTGCCTAAGCTTAATTAAATTTAAAACTTAAAAAATATTTTTTTTAATCATTATACCTCTGTTTAATATAATATGATATTGACTATGTAATATGAGAAGTTAAATTATGAATATCACTTACAACAACTTGTTTTGAATTTTCTCAGCACTAAGATAGTTCTCTTATCAATAAATATTGTGTTAGTTATATTATGCCACAACAAGTTGCATTATAAAAAATATTTCCTTAGTTTCGTTTTTAAACTATTGTACCTGCGATATGACTATAACTTTGTTTTATAAAGATTTATATGAGAAACATCACTTAAAACAGTCTGTTTTAAGTTCCTTCAGTATTAAGATACTTTTCTATCTTTAAAATAAGTATGTTAAGTCATGTTACACATCAAGCAGCATAAGCAAGTGATATGCAAACAACTATCTTGTTCTCCTCTAGGTCGGAGAGGACTTATTTTACCCCAGCATTTAGATAGAGTTGTGAGTGTTGTTCTGAAAGCATTGATTTATGATGAACAAAGGGGTAATTTTTCTGTGGGGGCTCACATCAGAGATGCTGCTTGCTATGTTTGTTGGTCTTTCGCCAGAGCGTATGATCCTGCAGTTCTCCAACCTTATGTTAACAGCATTGCTGGAGCTTTGTTGATTACAACCATATTTGACAGGTTTGTAAAATCTTACCTTGTTCTTGTGAATTTATATATGAAGTTTAAAATATGTCTTTTTTGAAAGCAGCTTGTTTGATGTCTAATAATTTTATTTTATTTATTTATAACTGACTTTGATGTAAGTAGCTCCAATTTACTGTTAATAACTTCATGTGTGTATAAATATATATATATATAGCACAATGAAAACAAAGAGAAAAACGAAACTAATTAATAAGTTTTATTAACTGCGCATAAGCTGCAAGTATATAGAACTCATAAAATAAGTAAAAATTGAGAAAATATGGAAAAAATAAAAAATAATGACAAGAGAGGAAAATTATTAACAATAATTTTTTTAAAGTATTTAAAAAACATAATTTTAACACTTTTAAAAAAAAAAAAAATTGGAAAACAAAACAAAGAAAAGATATAATCTCTTCATCAGCTCACACGATTATATCCGCAAAAGGNTTTTTATTGTTTAAACTTTTTATTCTCCACCTCAATCTCAGTTTGGAGTATAGTGTGCTTTCCTTTCTGGCAATACTGTGCTTGGCAGGAAAATGTACATGTGCAATTTTCCCGGTTGCAAATCAGTGGAAGGTTATTTTGAAGCATTTTGTAAAGTGCTGTGTATTTCTATATGCATGTTGCTCAAAGTTGTGCTGGTTAATTATATTATACTGACACTGTTTGAAACTGTTAAATAAAGGCCAATTATTATATGGTGTAGTAATCAAATTATAAATCCGAAACTAGTTGTTGTATTGCTATTAACCCAAATTGTAGGAACCTTCCAGATCTTTCAATTTTTATCAATGAGATGCAGTTATGCAATTGACTGAACTGTTCAAAAAATATTCTGAAACTGAAAATGTAGTTTGCAAACTAAGAGAATTGATTTTCAAACTCAATATTTTCAGATTTTTTTTTTTTTTTTAACTTGGTGTCAAATTGTATGTCAATTTATATTTTTACCTTAAATATGCAAAGCAGACAAATTTGAATTTTTTAAAAATGAGGCTGCACATTATATCAGTAAATTAGGCTTCCAGGCTGTTAACTCTAACCTCTTTTTATTTTATTTATTTTTTTGTCTCAAAAACTAGCGTGAGTTAGTTTTACAATTTTGAACAAAAAACAAAAAATTAAACAAAAAAAAATATTTCATATAAAACAAGTTTCTCTTTACTGGTCTAAAATAATGTTTGATTGGTCAAGCAAATGCATTGTTAAAATTTATCTTCAGTCTTCGTATCTCCAAATTTAGCTCTTTAGTTTACTCATAAAAAAACTCTGATAAATTTTTGTCTGTTAAAAGTTTAAGTGAAACTGCAAACTATTTTATGTAAATAAAAAAAAATTTAAAAACAAAAAAAAAAAAAAAAAAAAAAAAAAAAAAAAAAAAAAAAAAAAAAAAACAGCAATATTGAAACTGTATTTATAAGAGATTGAAAACCTTACTTTAAAAAAAGTATTTAATTGAGATTGACTAATAAATGTAGATTTTTCATTTATTAAATGAAGTTTTGTTTGTAAATAATGTTATTTATGATTCCTGATTAGTTAAAAACCAAATTCTTAATAAATAATTATTTTAAAAATATTTTAAAAAATAATTATTTTGAAAATATATTTTTTTAATACAAAGTACATGAAATCATTTTTTTTTCACTATTTCTAGGAATTATTAAACTAGGCAATTTTAAGACTTTTCTTTTTAAGGTTAATGTAAATATTATTGTTGATAATTGTTGTTTACTTAGTTTTTCAAGGGAGAAAACACATTTAATGGTTCAATTGCTTTTATTCTTTGTAATAAAAGAATAATGAAACAAAGAATGAAAGAAGTGTGATAAAAATTTAGTTCATTTTAACTTTAGTTGATTTTGATTCATCTACTTTGATGCAAAAGAAAGACTAAACTTTATTGTAATTCTTTAACAAAATATTACATAAAGTTTAAAAATACTTCCTTTTTTAGAGCTTACGCTCACTATATATATGTAATTTTTTGAATAGTATAAAGACAGAGTTATCTGGATTTATTTTTTTTTAAATCATGTGAAAGAGCTTTTCTAAAGTAATTTTTTATCACAGTTTTTAGAAATTGTGCACCAAACTATCCAAAAAAAAAAGAAATTTTAATTTTAAATGCGTTTTTGATATCTTATAGTTAGCAAAAAACTAGGCTATGATTAAGCTTAAAAATTCAGAATACTGAATAATTTGATATATTATCTATTTATTTACCCTGAACTTTACTTAAACCCAATATGTATTTCATGTTTTTAATGATTTTATAAAAATTCAGATTTTTTTCTAACAAAATGAAGCTTATTAGCTCTTATTATACTAGCAATCTTGTATTAGATATAATTTTAAAGTGACTCTATTTTTTACAGTTATTGTTAATTAAAAATAGAAAAGAAACTATTGCTATTCTAGCTTCATATTTTCAGATAAAATATAATTTGTAAAATGTTAAATATTTTAATGTTTTCTTCCTTTCCTATTCAGAGAAATAACCTGCCGTCGAGCTGCATCAGCTGCTTTTCAAGAAAATGTTGGCAGGCAAGGAACTTTTCCTCATGGTATTGAAATACTTACAGAAACTGATTACTATGCAGTGGGGTCCAGACAAAATTCTTTCCTAAATTTAAGGTATGTATTATTATCAAATACTTTCTTCTCCTTCCCTCTTTTTTAAGTTCAATTTTTAGAGTAAAATAGCAAGGACGTCAAACTTGTTCAACTACTCTGAATTGACATCAGTATTATGCTTTGTGCAAGGATCCCACTTCCTAAACTCTAATTCTATTCATTATTCAAATAAAATGCATAAATTATTATTTACTATCTATATTATATTCTCCTTGTAAGTATTCTCTAATTGGTATGCTTTCATAACTAAAAATATCACTTAAATAATTTTTACAAAATCTGCAAGGGTAATGAATTTGACATCCATGTGTATTTTTGTCATCCAAATAGCAAATTCATCCAACTGATAAATTTGTCACCAAGCATATGATTTATTGTTTACAAATGTTGCTGCAGTCATATGATTTGTCACTGAAACTAATTTTAAGATTGATTTTAGATCTTTGTGTATTCCGTAAACGTATTAAAAGAAAGAGGGATTTTTAAAGTTTTTGCAGAAACCATTAGTAATACTGGTGAAAAACCATGTGTGTGTGCAAAAGAAAGTGAGTGTTCAAATGCAAAATTTGAGAATCGAGTGTCAATAATATATTGAATTTAGTTCAGTCCACATCATCCCTCTTATGGCTTCAAAGGAAAAAGGCTGCTTAAGAAATATATCCATTTTATTTGTGGATACACAGGGGCCTGTCCAGGCCGAATTTACTACCGTTTAGCGTACTTTCACAAATTCAACTTTAGGAAAAACGGTAGTTTCACAAAATACTTTTTCTTAAAATTTAATTCTTGTATCCCTTAAGAAACAATAAATCCATATTTTTGTGTTGATTTTTTAATATAATTTTTAATTTTTCACAAATTATGTCTACATTTTCACAAAATAGGTACCTTTCAGAAAAACCTAGACAGATCCCTGATACATCATTCTTTCTTACCTATTCTTACCTATTCATTCTTTCTTACCTAGATTTTTAGAGCAGTTATTAATAAAATCCTATCAACAGTTTTCTTTTAATAAAACTATGTGATTTTTTGCATTAATGGTTTAAATATTTCTCTTTCTTAGTGTTCACATTGCTCAGTTTCTTGAATATACTTTGCCACTCGTCAATCATTTATTGGACCACAAAGTTAACCATTGGGATCCAGCTGTGAGAGAATTGGCTTCAAAAGCTCTTCATAACCTAACAAATAGAGCCGTCTCTTACATGGCAAAGACTGCTGTTCCTCGATTGTTGGAACTTGCAGTTGGAATAAATCTGAATGCTCGACATGGAAGTATACTCTCTCTTGCAGAAATAATCCATGCTATTTCTCAGGAAAAGGATCAAAATGAAACTATGACTGATATTTTAGGTATGGCTTAGTATCTGTAGAAAAAATTACTTTCAAAAATTATTTTCAAGTAAATGTAATAAAATGGGGTTCTTTTATATGTATAAATAACATGAAACCTAAACTCTATCTCATCTATTATAACTTTTTATGTCTTCTCTTTTTTTCCAGCAGAGAAATAATTACTAATTAATGAAATTTGTGTTTAACTACATATCTATTTTTTTTATTAATAAAAGTATTTATGTTGTAGTTTAAGGTTCTGAGATTTTTTCAAAAACTAATAATTCTGGACTCCCACAACCTTTTAAAAAACCTTAAATTTTAAATACAATTTTGGGACCTCTTATAGAGCCTTATGTTTCTCTTAAAACTCTTTTAAGAAAAAAGCATTTCAATAAAATTTTATTTAATTTCAAAGTTCGAAAATATTTTTTTAAATAATGAGCTACATGGACTAGAATGAATACTATATACTGAGTATATACTATATATCATACTGAGTATGCATGGTATATACTGAGGTACTATGAATTTTATGAAATCTTTTGGAATACTTATTCTTGTAAGGCCTTTCCACCAGATTGATGCTGTGATATTCGACAAAAAAAAACACCAAAAAGAAAGAAAAATATTGCAGGGTATGGGATACATTTTGACTTTATTTGTAATATAGTATGAATCGTAATTATAGTTCTGTAATAACTATAATGCATATATCGTGAATGATTTAAACAGTTATGTAGCTTGACTTCTAATAAAATGTTTCCAATGACAGAAAAGGAACTTGCCCAGTTTTTGTCACATTTCAACATTTTTTGACAGGGTTTTGATGTTTCATGTCCAAAACCAAACCCTGAGGTAAATTAATTATTTATTAGTATTGAAAATTATGTCTGTGAATTAATGAGCAAGATTTACTGAAATCCTGATTTTACAACTAAATTAGCACTTAGTACATAACTTTTATTTTATTATTATTATTATTTGCCTTTTTTAGTGGCTTTAAATTATTTAAGTTTATTTTTTTTTTAAAAAAACATTTAAAAATCATTGCAATTACGTGTGGTTTCATGAAATTTTCAAAATACTTATTTTGCATTATCTTGTTAAACATATAGCTCACAAAAACTGTCCTCATTGATTTTATTTATTTTCCCCTAACATAAGAAACTAAGGATAAATAATTATAAAACATGTAATACACTCCTAGAGAAATCCCATTATGATTTGGAGTTGAAAGCTTTTAAATGTCACGGAAACAATTATCAATATCTTTCCACAGAAGTTTTTAAATAATTGAGGAACAGAATGTTCTGCAGCAGGATTTTAGCTATCCATGTTAATCCTATAGAAATTTCGCAGCATGTCCTCTCTGGACCTTGTGCCATTAAATCTTACATTCAATTCAATTCCTATAGAAATTTCTTTTTTTTTTGTGCTGTTATTACCAAATAGACAGAGGAAGTTTTAAATTTGTCAGTGCTACATAGCTACCAACTCTACTGGAATTTCCAGTAGACTACTGGATTTTGCCAGTTTCTCCTGGTCTGCTGGTTTAATAAAAATTCTCCTCGTTTTTGTACATTTTTAAAAATTCCCTAAAATTCACAAGTTTCCTTAAAAAAATCCCTATTGAAATAGAATTTTCGTGCAGATTATTTCTTGCTTGAATATTTAAGTGTCACTAATACATAAAAGAGGCGAGCCGCATTTATAAAATTCAGTTAATTGTCTTTGATCAATTAAATGCCTATTATTATTCAAAATTATAAATAAACATAATACACATAACATTTCAACATCATTTAATGTGAAATCATAACTGGAAAATATTTCAGTTTTTCTGTTTTGATGACTATAAAAATCCCTAAAATTCCCTGTGTGTGAAATATTTAATATGTTTTGTAACAGTTTTCTTTAAATTTATATTATTTCGTAAAATCTACTGGATTTTTTCCTATCCGTGTTGGCAGCTATGGTGCTAACATCCATGTGCTAAAATATAATGCATTGTAAATTTTGTTTAGGTGAATTAAAATATGCTGATTTGTATAGAGNAAAATCTTTTTTTTTTTTGTGCTGTTATTACCAAATAGACAGAGGAAGTTTTAAATTTGTCAGTGCTAACATCCATATGCTAAAATATAATATATTGTAAATTTTGTTTAGGTGAATTAAAATATGCTGATTTGTATAGAGAATGTACATACTTTTGTTTACTATATGGCTCTGAATATAAAAGAGTAATAGAATTAATTCTCTTAAAGTTATGAGATTTTTCATGTGCACTTTTCTATTTATATGCTTTTTTCAATAACTTTCATAACAGGTTTTAAATTTAGAATATTGTTATTCATTTTTTGAAATATTTAAATCTTAATGCTCTTTTTTTTTTGCCTCTTATGTGTTTTTGCATTTTTTGTCCACCAGGTGCAGATGTGATAGAGAAACTCAGAGCTCTTGTGTTTATCTTAGATGAAAGAGGACTTTTTAAAGGTTTAGGTGGTATTTTAATGAGGAATGCAATATGTTTGCTTTTTGAAAAGTCCTCCATCTCTGCATTGCCCTTTCATGAAGATAAAGACTTGATTTGTAAGCAAAATTTAATTTGAGATGTAATTTCTTTCTTTTTTTTCCAGCTTTAAATTTAACATTGTTTAAAATTATAAAACGTTTTTGTTTATATTTTTTTGCAATAAATTGTGATAAATATTTTAAACATGTTTTAATATGAATTTTTAAAAATTCACATTGTAAAAATAGTTATTCAAAAGCATGAACACACCTCGATTTCAATTGAGTAACTCTTACTGCATTGAATTGTTAAATTACTGAATGTTCAACTTTTGCTCATGTTTGTAATATGAGACCATTTCAAGTCAAATTTTTTCTAATAGAAATATAGCTTTTTACGTGTAATCATACCCAAGAAATTATATGCAATTAAGATTTTACCTTAATTACTGAATATAATGAATAATTCAGTATAATTAAGGAAAATTTTACAATTTACAGAATATTTTCATTTTTAGACCATGACATATTGAGTATGTAATTTTTTGAATCATTTGTAATTTTATTATATACTTAAAATTTAAAAGAATGGATTGAAAGAAATTGAGCAATCTTTTTATTCTGATATATTTGTTTCTTATATTAGTGTATATTAATAAAATTAAAATGTGTAAATTATGAAAATTTTGCAAAAAGGAAAAGAAAAATAAAAGTAGATAATGTTTCAAAATGTCTATATAAATGTATAGTGATATTATGTGTTCTTATAGCAAAGTGGCGAGAGATGTTGGATAGCTGCCTTAAACATGCTGATGTTTCTGTTAGATCTTCTGCCATATCTGCCTTACCTCATTTCATTAGGCATTTCTTTTCTAATGACAAATCCTATTGCTCTCAGCTATTGAAGAACTATTTAGATCAGTTAGATTCTACACACATGGAAACAAGGTGTGGGTTTGCCCTTGCTATTGGTGAGTACAAAATGTTTCTTACCTTTTAAACTTTAGAAAAATTTCCTTTTGTGTGTTTATCATTTGATTGCTGTTACTTTTTTTTATTCAAAACATTAATGTATTAGCTTTGAAGCACGCAAATAAGCTGAAAAGTTTTTGTTGAAAAATTACTACTTCTGGATTTAGTTCATTTTATTATTAAATCTATTTGCTTTTATAAAGTTTTCAGCATTAAGAAATTACTCTAGTATAACTCAATAGCTGTATTTTTATTTTTGCGCTGTTTCTGTTTCATTAATTTTTAAATTTTAAAAAGAATGAAGTCTAACATAAGTCTTCAAAATTCTTCTCTAACAAGTTATGTTTATTCAAACATATGTTCTAGATTTTAGAAACTATGGGTCCTGTGAACCTGGGGGTTTAGAATTTTTGGGTATTTTTTTACTAAAAGTGGATCTTTCATTAAAATCTATCAATGAATGTGCTCATTCTTAATTATTCTACCTATTGAGAAACAAAATGAAGACCAAGCACCTGCATCAAAGAAAGTAATGTAATATGATAGTAAGAATTATTCTAATTTCCTCCTTCAGCAACTAATAAAAAATAATTTTGCTTGCACTTTATTTTTTTACTGCTCTGGTGAATTACACATCTCCTGGGACACATAGGTGATTATTTTTGGCATCTGTCAGGTGATTTAGACACTACAAAAAGTAAGTTCAGTCGGACCTCTATTTAACAAAGTCGCTAAATCCTGATAATAAGTTTGTTATATGGAAAATTCGTTAAATAGAAAATCACATTTTAAAATACTTAAACAACCTTTTTTTTTTTAGATTGATCATTTTTGTAGATTAATCTTGTTATGTAGGTGTTGAAATTTTATATTAGCCTGGCACTAAAAGTTAAAATTGTCTATTCCAAAAATAAACCCATGGCAGGGCCCCCTCTACAATTTTTGTGTTATTTGAAGTGTTATAAAGGGTATACATCATCTGTCATAAAACTTATTAACTCTAGATAATCATTATTACTCTGTAACTAATCATTCAACTCAACTATGGATTAAAAGTGTGCTTATTTTAATTTTCCCTTTACATATGCAGAACAAATTAGTACAGCTTAAGAAAAATGCCCTTAAATTTTTATATGAAATACAGAAAAGTGATAAAATTTCATATAAAATATAGGTAGGTGATAAAATTTGATGTTTACAGTTTTTGAAAGCATTAAAATGTTACAGGAGTGTCCCAACTATGCAACTACCAAAAGTATATAGTCATTGGCTTGACTGCTTAGTTTTTTAGAGTTAAGCAATGTACAGGGTATTTACTGTTAATGAAAAAAACTTGATGACACTAATCAATTTTACAACTGGGTGACTCGGTTCTTTATTTCTGTTCTGAAATTGTCAAGCTTTAATATATCAAAGTTTTGAATTAATTCAATTATAATCCATGCTGCAGTATAAGACTGATATTCTGTGGAATTAAAATTTAACCTAATTATTGTTTTTTTAAAAGAATGAATTTATTGTATTCATTTAAAAATATTGTTACAAAATCTACATGGTTATAAAGGAATTTATATTATTGAAGATCACTTTTGAAAGATTTATTCTTAAGAAAAAGCAGCTATTGTTTATTTGTTCTTTTGATAGCCAATTAGATTCAAAAAATTTAAATGAAGGTTAAACTTTATCAAAGAAAGAGTTAAAGCAGTATTTAAAGTCAATTTATTATTTTTAAATACATTCCAAAAATACATAAGTCATTACACCTGCAGTGTATCTACCAGTACAAAACTACAATTCACTAGTATATAAGACATGTTAACTCGACTCTATGTCGGGGTACCTTTTCATAGATGAAGGTTGAAATTGTCGATAGCTACCGTTCCCACATTGGTGACCTTCGGACATGATGTGAACATGCCTACGTTGGCAGAAACGCCCACTTCAATGTGAACATGCCTACCTAGACAGTAACGCGTACTTCAATGGATGGTCCACATGGAACAGTTTACTTGCTACTTGTGACTGCGACATTATCCACCACCTTAAACTGTTGCTACTCAGTCTCGTCTCGATCATACACAACGTCGACCTGCATACACCCAACTGCTAAAGGCAACACAGGAGCGACTACGACCATGATCTTAATACAGCTCTCATGACTAATGTTCAAAATCCAGTGACCTTAATCCAGCTTTCCCGGTCTGTCACAAATACAGCAACTAGTGGTATCCATGTATCGAATTCTGTCACAGCTATAATACTGATGGGGGAGTACTGTAGTGTATCTACCAGTACAAAACTACAATTCACTAGTATCTAAGACATGTTAACTCCACTCCATATCGGGGTACCTTTTCATAGATGAAGGTTGACTTTGTCGATAGCTATCATCTCCACACACCAAAAAATAAAGTACTCTTTTTTTTTTACTTTGAATTGTTTAATCTGCTTTGCAACCATTACTTGTAACTATTATTTATATATTCTGAAAAAATTCTTTTATTTCATTTAGGTGCCCTTCCAAGTTTTGTTTTAGGAGATCATGTGTCTGATACTATTGTTAAATTGTCCAAATGTGCTGAAATTACTGAAGAGCATTTCAGCTGGGCTGAAGTAAGACGAGATGCTATAAAAGCTCTATCTCAGATAGTAACTACAGTTGGTTTTGGTGCAGAAAAAAGTGAAAATGACTACATGAATGTAAACTATTTAAATGTGGTATTTAAAACCTATTTGAGTGGCACTCAAGATTATACTTTAGACAGCAGAGGTGAAATTGGAGCTATTGTAAGAGAAGCAGCCATGACTGCTATACAGGTAAGTTGCACATTTTAAACTTAAAACATTACATAAATAAATTTGGTTCATGAAAAGAACAACAACTNATTTACTCATAAGATTTTACGATTTTTCTTTCTTTTTTTAAAGATGTTTACCTTACCATCATTTTGGAAATAATCATTAGTGTATTACTTCATCGTTTTTTCTTATTGTTAAGATTATTTCCAAATTTTTTTTTTTATTTAGTTTAGTTTATTAGTTTGGGTTTAAGAATTAAAAAAAACGACTTTTTGTAGCGATTCAGAAAACCGGAAAAATCAGTTATCCGGAATAGCGATGGTCCCGACCGTTCCGGATAATCGGTTCCCTACTGTACTTCAATACTTTTGTTTTCTGCAACTTGATAAAAATCTGACAGTAATATTTAATTTTCCTTCAAACATAAAAGAGTCCTACATGAAATTTTGATAAAGTTGCGGCCCGCCATTTGATTTGTGTTGTAAATTGTGGCCCCCTGTCTCATGTAAGTTGGAAACCCCTGTTCTAGATTTTAGAAACTATGGGTCCTGTAAACCCGGGTTTTTTGAATTTTTGAGTCTTTTTTTTACTAAAAGTGGGTCCTTATTTAAAATCTATCTATAAATGTGCTCATTCTTAATTATTCTACCTTATTGAGAAACAAAGCAAAGACCAAGCACCTACATCAAAGAAAGTAATGTAATATGATAGTAAGAATTATTCCAATTTCCTCCTTCAGCAACTAATAAAAAAGAAAAAAAATTTGCTTACATATTTTTTTTTACTGCTCTGGGGAATTACGCATCTCCTGGGACACGTAGTTGATTATTTTCGGCATCTGTCAGGTGATTTAGACACTACAAAAAGTAAGTATTTGAATTTATGATTTTTTATTAATATGTATTTAAGTTTTTGAATTTTTATTTAAATAAGACATTATTTTGGTGGGGTAGCAAGCCTGAGAATTTTCTGTAAACAATTACACTGTTGCCAGTAAGGGATGGCATCCATGATTTTATAACCCTGTAGCGTTTGATACGATTTATATTGTGTGAGGGTTCTAAGAACTTCCTCTGTTCTTACTAATGACTTAGATTTGGGGGGTGGATATTTAAGATGGTTGGCTTGTGGGCCGACAAATGTGAAAAAGAGTTGGATTTCTTGGACACTTTAAAAGTCAGTAGCAAAATGGTTTTTCAAAAAGTAAGTTGTTATGAGAGTGCTTAAGATAATTCAGATTGTGACTATTTGTAATATTTTGAAAAATGTGGTGTGTTTGTGTTTGTATGAAATTTAACAGAAGACTCTAAACAACAAATTTGGTGAAAATGTCAATGTTTTTTATGTATGTGCTGAGGTTGAAAGACTTCATACCTCCTTTTTACTCTTCTATTGTTTTCCCTACTGTCATATTTTGGCTCCCCCCCCTTAACCTAGTTATTTTTTAAAAATTTATTTTCGTAAGTGTTTTCAATATGTTACATCAAAAAAAGTACTTAATTATTGGCATAATGCATTTTTAGTTCTTTTTAGTGTTTATTTAGTATTTCTTTGTACCTTTTCGCACCATTTTAAACCTGAATCATAAAGAACCTGGGTTGTAACTTAAATTGCAGTAAATGATTGATCATTTTTGTAGATTAATCTTGTTATATAGGTGTTGAAATTTTATATTAGCCTGGCACTAAAAGTTAAAATTGTCTATTCCAAAAATAAACCCATGACAGCGCCCCCTCCACAATTTTTGTGTTATTCGAAGTGTTATAATGGGTAGGGGAATACATGGGCATACTATCATAAAACTTATTAACTCTAGATAATCATTATTATTCTGTAACTAATCATTCAATCAACTATGGATTGACAGTATGCTTATTTTTATTTTCCCTTTGCATATGCAGAACAAATTAGTACAGCTTAAGAAAAATGCCCTTAAATTTTTATGTGAAATACAGAGAAGTGATAAAATTTCATATAAAATATAGGTAGGTGATAAAATTTGATGTTTACAATTTTTGAAAGCATTAAAATGTTACAGAAACGTCCCAACTATGCAACTAGCAAAAGTCTATAGTCTTTGGCTTGACTGCTTAGTTTTTTAGAGTTAAACGATGTACAAGTTATTTACTCTTAATTAAAATAACTTTTTTCACAGAAGCTATTCTTTGAGTATAAAAAAAAAACTTGAAGACACTAATCAATTTTACAACTGGGTGACTCAGTTATTTATTTCTGTTCTGAAATTGTCAAGCTTTAATGTATCAAAGTTTTGAGTTAATTCAATTATAATCCATGCTGCAATATAAGACTGATATTCAGTTTTTTCTGTGGAATTAAAATTTAACCTAATTATTGTTTCTTTAAAAGAATGAATTTATTTTATTGTAGTCATTTAAAAATATTGTTAAAAAATCTACATGGTTATAAAGGAATTTATATAACTGAAAATCAATTTTGAAAGATTTATTCTTAAGAAAAAGCATAATTATTGTTTCTTTAAAAGAATGCATTTATTTTATTGTAGTCATTTAAAAATATTGTTTAAAAATCTACATGATTACAAAGGAATTTATATAACTGAAAATCAATTTTGAAAGATTTATTCTTAAGAAAAAACAGCTATTATCATTCTTTTGATAGCCATTGAGATTAAAAAAATTTTAATGAATGTTAAACTTTATCAAAGAAAGAGTTAAAGCAGTATTTAAAGTCAATTCATTAATTTAAATTCATTATTTTTAAATACATTCCGAAAATACATAAGTCTTTACACCAAAAAGTAAAGTACTCTTTTTTATATACTTTGAATAGTTAACAACATTAGTACTAAATTTACCTTTTACTTCAAAATAGTACATATCTGTTTTGAATTGTTTAATCTGCTTTGCAACCATTATTTGTAACTATTATTTATATATTCTGAAAAAATTATTTTATTTCATTTAGGTGCCCTTCCAAGTTTTGTTTTAAGAGATCATGTGTCTGATACTATTGTCAAATTGTCCAAATGTGCTGAAATTACTGAAGAGCATTCCAGCTGGGCTGAAGTAAGACGAGATGCCATAAAGGCTCTATCACAGATAGTAACTACAGTTGGTTTTGGTGCAGAAAAAAGTGAAAATGACTACATGAATGTAAATTATTTAAATGTGGTATTTAAAACCTATTTGAGTGGCACTCAAGATTATACTTTAGACAGCAGAGGTGAAATTGGAGCTATTGTAAGAGAAGCAGCCATGACTGCTATACAGGTAAGTTGCACATTTTAAACTTAAAACATTACATAAATAAATTTGGTTCATGAAAAGAACAACAACTTAACTTTGTTAGCCACTGGTTTTAGATCTACTTTTGAAAATACAACATTTTCATTGAAAAAGTGAAAAAACCAAAATGTTTCAATCTCTCTGAATTGAGCCATGGGGAGGGGGATCACTGCAATCATCTCTCGGCGGCGTGGCCCAGGTTCGAATCCCAGCAATGGCTGCTAGATACGAATTCCACACCAACCACAGTACTGACAAAAAAATATCCTCAGTGGTAGACAGATCATGGGTTCGATTTCCTTTGCCATTAAGCTAACTGTGGGAGGTTTTTCTAATTTTCCTCTTTATGTAAAGCAGGTGTGGATTATTTTCATCAAAAAAGTCCACCACGGAGGCAAAAATATCCTCAGTGGCAGACAGATCATGGGTTAGATTTCCTTTGCCGTTAGGCTACTTAGGGGAAGTTTTCGTGGTTTTCTTCTTTATGTAACGCAGGTGCCCAGAAGCAGAAAGTGCCTAAAACTGCGACGTACGTCGCAGAACAAACGAGGTCCTGCAGAACAATTTGTATCTTGAATAAGTGACAGCATATTCCTGCGATAATAATTTATTAATAATTCATCGTCATTAACAAAATTTTTCACCTCAAAAGTGATTGAAAAAGTAACAAATCAAGAATGTTTGCCTTGGTTTAAAAATAATGTACAGTATCTGTGTATGATCCTGTATTTTAATAAATGAAAATATGTATTTTTCGGCGGAAGAGCCGCGGCGCTATCGAAAAAAAAGTTGTTTTTTTCCTACATGCGGCGCTTCCGACGAAATATTTTTTAGTAGCAAAAAAATTTGTCAAGGAAAGTTATTTAAGATGGAATAATTTTCTGAGAGAAAGACTATTTAAAAAAATTAATAACGAAGTCGACGAAATATTCGCCCATATCGCGATCTGCTGCAGAACATCGCCAATTCTTAGCAAACTTTTTGGCAGCAGCCTGTAAGAAAATAAATAAACGAAATAATAATTTTAAAAAAACATCGCATAAGGAGAAAATTTAAAAGGTATGCATCTTGTATCCACCCCCAGCTTAAGGAAAAATCGCAAGCTAGAAATCTATTTAGCGCCTTGGCAATTGTAATTTGAGCGAACAGAAAAGGAAGTATAGGACCCTAAATCCGACACTCACGGGACTGACGAAATGCCGAACTTCGGATCTCTTTCGGAAATTCCAATATGGCCCCCAAATTTTACTATAATTCAATTCCACTGTTAATTTCAGAAAAACCAATAAATTTAGTCAAGTTTCGATCGTAGATTATGATGGGGTGAATTTAAAACTGGCCCATCTTAAGAGAAATTTTACTAATCAAAATAATAATCTATATAATATAATCAAGAAGAAATAATCAGAATCCTATGAAGAAGAAATAATCGTTTCTTCTTTGGAGCGAGATCATAGTTCTCGTTTTTTCTTTTAGATAACATTTTGTTTTAACAAAAGACGCTTACCTCGCAAGAAGAAAAAAAAAAGCTAACAGGGAACTACAAAAAAAAAATTTTTTTTTTAACAATTAATGCTAAGAAACTAACAATGAATAACAACAAAAAACAAGCTAAAAACTAATAACGATAAAAAAAAAAAAACGCAAGCAACAATTAACAAGAAAAAATAAAAAGCGGCAAAATAAAAAAAAATTTATGAATCGAATAAAAAACCGCAAAAGGGATAGAATTCATTTTGTTGTCCACGTGGTAGTTTCAATGTCAACTGGGTGTGGCCAATTTATGGTCAAACAGAAGAGGGAAATTTGGGGGTAAAGCACAAGCACAGCTGTCAAGATTGATTGATCAGTTTTTTCCAACTTCCATTTCTTTATTTTGTTCATTGGAAATGCAAGTGTTTTTACTTCTCACTTTATTTTAAACTGCTTAAGAAACAGATGTTTCTTTTGACACAGATTTATAATTTTTTTTTCAAGCTTTTTTATTTTTAAAAGATAAAATAAAGTAAGTTACTTCAACAGAATAAAATTCCAAATAAAAAGAATATAGCTGATTTTTTTTGTCTTATCAATATAAATTTCTTAAAAAAAAAAATTAAAAAAAAAGATTAGATCAGATTAAGTGCCAAATTTTGGAATGCTGGATTAGGGGTCCCATACCCTGTTCTTTTCCCCAACCCCTTTTAAATATTGAGTCACATTGGGTTATTTCCATTGAAGGAGAGGGCATTCTACCCACTAAAATTCCACCCTCAAAGATTGTGAAAGTGAAACTTATTTCCCGTTCGCTAATTTCTTCAGAATTTTTTTGGGGCCTGTTTAGTTATTTCTTATTCTTGTTATTATTAGTTATTTCGTTATTATTAGCTGTTTCGTTATTATGTATTAGTTTTTCCTCAAATTGTTAACGGTAATAAATTTTAAAATCTTTTTATTTTAAAATCTTTCTTTTAATAAATTTTTATTTTATTTTTCTTATTGCATTGTTTTACGGATTCCTGTAATCAGTTCAGCCTTAATTCAGCTACTGAACATATAAATATTTTTTTGCTGTTCTTCTGTTTTTTGGCGCGGTGCCAACTAGTAAGAACAACTTTATTTTATATAGTTTTGTTGTTTTCTTTTCTTTTTTTTTGCTGAAAGAGAAAACTTTTTTTGTTGCTTTTTTTTTGCTGAAAAAGAAATTTTTTATTATAATTTAGAAATTAAAACTTTATTTTGTGAAATGCATAAAAAAATGTAATTTTTTATTATACAGATATTCTAAATGGTAATTTAAAGGTCTCTTCTGAAAGGATGCTGATATACGCGGTTCAGCGCCATTGCGGCGCTTACTATAACTTTTTTTTAAAAAAATTCATTTTTATCGAGGTGCGGCGCTTCTGACGAAGCGGCGCTTTCGCCGAAAAATACGGTATTTTAATGTAAAGCTAACTTTTTTTCGCTGTGAAATCCTTGCAGAACATTTGTATATATTAATAAGTCCTGTTGCAGAACATTTGAAAATATTCTGCTTCTGGGCGCAGGTGTGGATTATTTCCATCAAAAAAGTACACCGCAGGGGCAAATTTTTCCCATTATTAGATACAGAAGTTCCCTTATCTTCTAGATTGGGTTCAAAATTATAAGTCTATGGAGTTGATCATTGGTAGTCGTAAATTCAAAATTAGGTCGACTGTTCAATAACGGTTATAAAATCTCTCTGAATTTATGAACATAAGTGTCCTTGTAACCAACTTTTTTTAAACGAATCAAAACTGTCATCCTAATATTTTTAATTCCTGCAGCTCTTAAGTTTCTGCTTTTGAGCTTATTCATGATCAGGGCTGTGGAGTTGGTACCTGAAGAAATTATTGCAAGAGTCTGAAAGATCTGTTCGATTCTGATTCTAGTTAGCTAAAAGTTAAGTCCTATAAGTTGAATGAAGGAAAGACTCCTGTTAATTGTTTGGACAGCTATTTATAATCATGTAAACAAAAATGTATATTATGACAATTATTTAAATTATAACTTACCGCAAAATTAATTTGTTATAACTTCATGCATTATTTATTAACTTTTATAAAAATGATTTGAAAATCTCTAAGCCTATGTTCGGTTGGAATTAGTGTAAAAGGCAAAAGATGATGATTAAATTTTTTTTAAAAGGTAATCAATGGAATTCTTTATCAATTGTCATCATGTTGAAAAATAAACTAAAGAGAAACGGGCATTCATAACCTTCATTTTTAGTCAAACATGGGATCGAATGGAACCATGATGGATCAACGGCTAATGCTCTGAACTGCCATTGAAAATAACTGTGATTCCAGTTCCAGTATTAGCTTGAAACCCGTCCAGCATCAGATCGATGGGTACCAGCAGGTCGCAAAAATTCAAATGGCTGGTGCAAAATGCTGGCCACTTGCCACCGTTATGTCATTGGTCACAATGAGCTGTTGCGGGAATGCTTTACTTTATATGTACTAATTCTTATAATATTCTAAGTTTTTTTTTTTCTTCTCTCTAAAGGAACACAGAGCTTCTATAAAAATAAATTATTACTTATGATTCTACGAAAATTTTAATGGAATCTAAGTTGAAGTTGAGATCTCGAAAAAGTTTGGAGTAAGAATACCAGCTCTATCCATGACTAACAATCATTATTATTACTTATTACAATATTTAAAATTTTATGTGCAATGAATTATAAAAGTTAGTTGCATCTGTATTGTATTCCTACCAGGGTTTTAAAAAAAAACAACTATGATTGATTGGGTTTTTTAAGATATCACCTAATTTAACACTTTTTAGGTTTAAATTTTAATTTAAAATGATAATTCAAAAAGAACAATTTTCATTAAAAATAAAACTTTCATGGGAAAATAATTAAATAATGAATTAAAATAAAAATAAAAATTAGCTTTAATTTCAATGTAGTACCATCTTTTCATGCTGGTATGAATAAAAGGCTCTTAAATTAATTTCTTCTTTGACTAGTAATGAAAGCATAATATTGGAGTCGAAAAAAATATGCTTTTTTCTGTTTTATTTCTTTGTTAAGTAAGTTTATGGTTTTTTTTTTTTTTTTTTTAAATAAAATAAGTTTTTTACAGGTCAACTAACTACATAACTACTGTATATTTAACAATTTTCTTATAGTTTTTTTAATTGCTCTTTAAACTAAGTATTTAGAATTAGTTTTGCTGTGATCAATAAAATAATTAATCAATCATGTAAACTTTTATTAAATAAAATTTATAATGCAAAATAAGTTAGTGTTAATTTCATATTATTTAGTATTTTATTGCCGTTTGAAAATTAATAAATTTTAATATTTAAATTATTATTTTGTAGCAGTTAAATATAACTACTAACAAAATATTTTATTCCATCCATTTGTATATTTTCTGAAACAATAATATTCTGCTGAAAAGAATAAAAAAAATACTATTTTTAATATTTTGTTATATTACCTTTTGTGTGCTTATTTTATTCGTACTTATAAACTTATTTATTCAGGAGATAAGAGAAAAACAAAGTTATTCCAGCCTGTATTCTGCACCTATCAATTCAAAACAAATAACATTAAGAAAGCTAAAATTATTGTTTAAAAAAAAAGTGATTTTTTTTTTCTATTGTTGAAGCAAGAAAAGTTATTATATTCATTCGAAGTTATATATTTATCTAAGTACACTAAATTTTGAAAGTGGGGTTATGTATTAATATTTAAAAATCAAATAAAAATTAACAACTGATGTACTGTAAATATATACTGTATTGATATACAATAAAAAATAGCAATTGATAGATGATATGATTGATTGGGCAGATTTTGATTACTTTTAGAAATAAAACCATTTAAGCCCGGGTTTTATTGGGTTTGTGGGTAGGCCAAGAACCCTGATTCCTACGATATTAGCATTTTCAATCTCTACAATTTCACCCAAAAAAAATTTTATATCAAAATTGTTAAGATCCTTAGTTAGGCAGTGATCAAAGCTTTTAAAAATTGTATTATTTACTCTAATGGAAAATTTATATAGATTATAATTGGTGTATACAATCTTTGGCCTCTTTTTGAAATTCTTTTTGTTGTATGTAGGTATCTTAGCAAATAATTAAGCATATGTTGAAAATTGCATGATCTTTGTTTCTTGTTTTCCATATAAACAATCACATATGAATAACTTATTCTTCAAAAAATAAATATTTTTAAACCTGTCTATTCTATCGCAAATTATAGGCTGTACAAATTTTGTATTTGATTAAGTTTTACTTTAATCAAGTTCTGTAAAAATGTCAATTTTGAAATGTAAAAATCTCTTTGAAATTGCTGATAGTAAAAATGCTATTCCCATTGAAATGCAATGCAGCTGCATACTCACTTTTGTAACTTAAAGTATATCCTTAATTCCATTTATTTTTAGGACACTTTGTGTTTGGTGATAAAAGAAGACAAAGAACTAGTCTCAGCAGATTTAATCAAAGAAATTTTCTCAACCATTTTGCAGCAGTGTACGGAAAAAATTGACAGAACCCGAGCAGTTGCTGGAGGAGTGTTTGAGACACTTTTATATTGGTTGGTTAACTTACTAAATCTATGCATTAACTATGTTGTTTGTTTGTTTTTTTTATACAGCATAATGTAACTACACTCCTTGTAATTAAAATTGACCTCTCAAGGTCGCGTTTCTCACTTTTGCCCCCTTTGCTATAATGTGATAAGTATAATGCCATTCTTTTTATTCACTTGGCAGTTAAGGGTATCTATAGCTCATTGCAGTTTTTTCTCTTGCTTTTGTTTCTTACTCGCCAGTTTCTTTTCTCAATTGTAAGTTGATTCCTTTTCACAAACTAGTGCTAAATTGTTTGTATTTTAAGCTCTGCTGACATGAATAGCCCTGATGTCAGGAGCCAATCAATTATAGTTATTTACAATGTTTACAGACATTTAAAATAAGTGGTGTTATCTGAACCGAATTCTGTGGTAAAAGAATATTTTTTATGGAATACTGTCAAACCTCGCTATAGTGAACATTCAAGAGACCAAAATTTCGGTTCACTATATTCGTAACGCTATATTGTGTTCACTATATCCGTAATGCAGGCAATTTAACTAAAGATTCCCAAACTCCTTCCTTTTATTACTCATTATTCAAATAAATGACTGAAAAATATTATGTAGTAGCAAAAATTGTGTTATTTTTTTATTACTGTTATTTTTCAAACTGTAGATTTGAATAGTTTATATTCCCTGCAAATATCAGCTTGATTACATCCATTTTCAATTTTTCTGATTATGCCCATTTTTTCATTAATAGAGAACGTTTTACGTTTATTGCTCGCCATAGTTAAATTTGAGAAACTTGTTTGTAGGCTTTTTTAAACTGTACTGAGAGTAAAAAGGACTTAAAATGAAGACCTTATTAACACAGATTAGTGTCCAACCCTTTGACCAATAATGAATAATTACTCATTCCCTCTAACAGAAAATGCATGTTGATCCCACCAACACCTTACAGGTGCATTATCTGCGTAGGTTGGAAGCATCTGCTTGGTTTGTTTAGGAATGGAAAAGTGAGATAAAAGAAGCAAACAAGAAAAAATACTTATCGCTATGTTCCCCTCTATAGATTGTTTTAAAAATCAGTATATGTATTTATTTTGAAGTAGAAATTTCAAAATTATTACAAAAAAAATTAAGAAAAAAATCAGTCGAAGACAATAAAAAGTTCATTATATCCAACTTCTTCACTTTTTTGGTTCACTATATCCACAAAAAATAACATTATACATGTATAGCAAGGCACTGGACCGAACATTTCGTTCACTATATCCGTGAGTTCACTATAGCGGGGTTTGACTGTATAACTAGGACGTGGTGGTATTTTCTAGAGAGCCGTACTGCAAATTTGTGCAGATGCTGATAGAACTGCAGCTGGTATAGTTCTAGATAATCTTCCGGTTTTTGAGTCATCGAAGAAAAAAAACCCGAGAACAAAACTCATGAGTATGATTTGGATGATTTTAACTAATGCGTCTTACAATAAATTATTTAAGAATTTTATGACAGACGTGGATACTCAACAGGGACAAAACTAAGAGTTTGCTTAATAGAAAAAAACCAGGAGTTCCCTTGTCTTCTGGATTGGGTTCAAAATTACAATGATACAGAGTTGAACATTAGTAATCGTAAACCAAAAAAAATTTTCTCGGCTGTTCAACGATGGTTGTAAAATAAAATTTAAAAGTACATGTATGTATATTTACATATAAATACGTACTATACATAAAAAAACTAAAATAAATTAAAGGTTTTCAAAAAAATAAAGTGTGCCTTTTTCATGTTATGCCTATATTGTTCATCGTTTATGTTAATGTTAATACTACATTTGTTAAATTATTTATTTCAGTTCACCAAAAATTCCTCACATTCCATTTCATGAAGAATTATTAGATATTTTCAATCAAGATGTTTGCAGTGAAATCAACTGGGCTTCACCTGGTGACACGTTTCAACATTTTGTTAAAGTTCTCAATTTTCCTTGTTATCGAAGAAATCTACTTCTTGGTTTTGTTGTAAGCGTTGGTGGGCTTACTGAATCTTTAGTAAGTTTCCTTTCTTTCTTTTGTTTTCTTCTTTCTTTTGTAATATGTTTGAAATGAAACTCGATTTTTCTCCTTAAAATTTTTTATTTATTTTACCGGCGGTTTAGCAAAACAGCAATATTAGGATAATGTTTCTCCCCTCGAAGTACTTGGAAAAATCGGTTTTGCTATGCGAAAAAGACTGCTGGTTAAAATATGACTTTTTGCATACAGAACTATCAGTAGGTTAAAAACTTAATGCACTAAAACAGTTAACTTGAAAATATCAAATCCAATTAATTTGCTAACATTTTAAGTTCTGATATGTTGAGTTGTAATGTTTTCATGTTATAAAAGAAATCTAAGTTATGATTGTTGGCTAGAATTATCATTTAAAACAGATGATTAACATTAAAATCATCTAAAAGGGAAACTGATTTGGACGACTTAGGTCCGAAATAAGCTATAGTGCCTCAGTAAAAGTTTCATGTGAAACTTTAAGTAATAACAAGTATATAAAAAAAAATTTAACTAATTCATTGTGGCACTTCATAATTGATACAGGATTATCTTTTTAATTCAGTGTTTTTAAATGTTTCGAATTAGTAATGTTTTTCTAGGGTTTAGGGATTTTTTCACCGAGTATTTGTTTCTTTGGATAAACAATATTAGTACTAGGCAAAAACACCTTCATTCTGCTTTAATATGGAGTTTTCTTTAATACTAACATGCATGTTATAATAATAGTTGAGTTTAGTAAATTTCTATTGCAATATACAGCTTGTACAAAATAATTTTGTACAATAACGGTACTGTTTGTCTCAGATAGGTACACTTCCAGACATTCGTCTGGAGCTGTGGCGGTGACTATGGTAACGAGGTATGATTATTTCAAGTAGGGGTGCGGGGTCCCTCTTTAGGACTGGTTTTGACAAGAGAAAAGGAAACCTCTTCATCGAAGCTACCCGCCCTAAAATGCCCTCTTCTTGTTTCCATAGCACGAGACTGCCACAGACTTTGTGGCGGGAAAAGTACCTATCTTAGACAAACAGTAATTACCCTTCAAAAGTTAATTTGCTGTTTATTCAGTAAAATTAAAGGAAGAACTTTTTTTTAGGAAGAATGGCACTATCTACTAAAAAAACAGTGAAAAAATTTTATGAAAAATTAGTCTGTTTATAAGATTTTTTTCATAGTTTTTTTTTTTATGTAGCTCTAGAGACTTTAAAAATAATGTAATGTATAAAACAAAAAGTTTTTATGGCTAATAAAAGTTTACAGTTATATGTAATTTATAAAATAAAATGAATAACTTATCAATTATTTAAAAATCAATATGAAATGAATATGGCTTTTGAATTTGCAATTTTTGTATTGTAGTTGTATGTCTTGCTCAAAAATGGACAACCATTGCAAAACAATTCAGACTATTGGGTTTGTCCCATCACCACACTGTCTTCCTGCATTCTTAATCTGCTGCTTTTGGGCACTGTTGCTCTCAGTAGTATAAAAGTAGGGTTTTTAAATTTTGAGAAAGTTTCAGGAGACATTTTTTTTTCCATTAATAAGTCTTTGTGTACCACTGTTAAACTGGGTTGTGACACACTGTGGCATATATGCTGCATATCGGCTGTATGATTTGAATTATGATAAATCATTTTATTAAAACCATTTTCTGACATTTAAAATATAATCTTGAATTTTATTTTTATTTCAGGTCAAATTCTCAAGTTCAGCCTTAGTTTCCTATCTCTTTTCAAAGCAATCAGACTGTGATCATCTTCTAAAGTATATAGCTGATGAACTCATAAGCATCCTCAAAGAGAATACTCAAAACGATCGTATCATTGTGCCTTTTTTCAAAATGGCGAACCATCTTCTCTTGTCTGGCATTGAATTTTCAAGTGAGGAAAAACCTTCTTTTCATATGCAACTGATGGATTTGGTCTGGGAGTGCTCTTATAAGTCCAGGGATCCTCAGAAGATAATTGCTGCTGTGGACTTGTTTTGCAATTTGCTGCAGTTCGACGAATATATTCAGAAACGGATTCTGAATAAATTAATGATCTTCCTTTGTCACCGTTTCCCACGCGTCAGAAAGGTGACGGCTTCCCAAATGTATGAAGCATTTCTTACTTACGATGTTGTGCAAGATGAAGATGTTGCTGGCCAAGTGTCTTCAATTCTTTGTGATACAGATTGGAATAAGCCAATCGATGAATTGCGTCCTGTGAGAAATAGTCTCTGTGAGAAACTAGGGCTTGAACCACCAAGAACAAAAGCAAAATAGTGCTACTTCAAATTAGCTTGAATTTTTATTTTAATTGGGCCTTCTAATAAAATAGCATAAAGCTATGGTTCAATTTTGAAAAAAATATTAATTTCATTTTAACTTTCTTGTCGATTTCTATCTCTCAAAATTAAAATGGGGAAATAAGGCTAATATTTTCTGCAGCTTTTCTTAAATTAGCTTAAACTTAGAAAAATTATTTATCAAAATTTTTTTTTAAAATTGTATTATCACCTGTGGTTTTTATTTCATTGTATAAAAATTTTGCAGTTGCAGAACTTCTGTGACAATGTTTACGTTTCAAGAGCAATTAGCAGTTGTTTCAGTACCGGAAACAATTTTTTTAATGAAAAACCAATTTTTTTTTAATTTATAAAAATTTATTAAATTTTTATATTTTTCTCTAAATTCAAAGAAAAGGTAGAAAATAATGCCTCTTAAATTTGCTTCCTTCTATTAAATTAAGATCAAACAAAAACCAATTTTTAAACTTCAATGCATTAAAAGGGAAGCTTTAATTTTTTTATTCAAATACAAAAAAATTATGGTGTAACGCTTCTGGGTAAATTGCGTTAATGCTATCGAGTTTCTCGACACTGTGTAAAATGTTACTTTTGCTGTATAATTTTTTTTATTCTGCTTGTTTCTTACTTTTTGTGTATTTTTTTAACTTTAAAAATGTTATTTTAAAATTGTTATTTTGCTATTGAAATAAAATAGTTTTTAAATTTGGGTTCTTCATTCATTGCAACTATTTAAGAGGCAGACAGAAGGAAAACCTTACACCCTTTTGATAAAGTGAGAATGGAATTTGTTATATTGAAAAGTAATTATCTAAACTGTCGATACATTTTACACACTACGAGATGAAACAATAAATTCCAGCCAAAATATATTTATGGTGCTGACAAGTCCCCAAACTTCTATTTCATAGTCCTAATGAAATTGACGTCCACGATAGTCTTTCATCAGGACGACTAAAATATGGATTCTTCCAGTCTCGGAAGCTTTTCTCTCACCAGACAAAATCATATGCAACAAAAAAAAATTTTTGGTAATGAATGATGCGAAACTCATGCGATTGCCCCTTATTCATACAGCATTGATTCATCTTCAATCATTTTGTTTAAATGATTTTTTATGTGCATTTAATCCTGACCATAATGACATATTCCTCGAGTTTATCCATCTACTTATGTTTTCTGAATTTAAATTAAGGTTCTCAATTTCCGAAAAGAAATGAATAAACTTTTCCAAGTAAATACAGTAGGGAACCGATTATCCGGAAAGATTGGGACCATCGTTATTCCAGATAACTGATTTTTCCGGTTTTCTGAATCGCTATAAAAAGTAGTTTTTTTTTATTGTTAAACCCAACTAAAAAAAAAAATATTAGGAAATAATCTTAAAATGAAGAAAAAGCGATACAGTAATGATTATTTCTAAAATTATGGTATGGTAAACATCTTTCAATAAAGAAAGAAAAATCCTAAAATCTTATGTGGAAAAAAAAATTCTTTAAAATATGGTGGGAAAATTTATCGAATTTCATTCCGGTTTTCTGATTTCCGGATAACGGGTTCTGTACTGTATCAACTAATTCCAGACTACATACTATACACAGCAATATTCCATCAAAAACATATGGTTGCATTAATAAAAAATTTAAACAAGATAATGTTCAAGAATCTGTTGATACTTATTTTAGATGTAAATAATAAAAAAAGATCAACCATGTTGTACTGCAGTGAAATTTTTACGAGAAATGATTGTAATAGATATTAGATTTATTCACTTTAAATCCTACTGGCTATTTATTATTACAATGCAGCATTTAAGTTTATAGCAGGATTTTCCAGGTTTTGGCTATAGTATTCAACTCCAGATTTTTCTGTGGAAACTAGGTGGGCTTAGCTGTAGAATGTCTTCGCCTCATGATTAAATTGATGAGAGTGGTATTTGTCATTCGGTTTTCAGAAGGACAGATTAAGTTTGCTGATGTTGCCTCCAGAGAGGAGAGAACATTTGTAACGCAAGGTCAGCTCTGACAACCGATTGGCACTAAACAAAAGTGTTCATTTGGGACAGTTGACAACAAGAATAAAACAATATATATGACACATATATATAAAAAAGTGTTTAAATTATTAAGTCAAATGTTACGCCAAAAATGTTCAAATTATTTAGCTAAATATTAGGCAAAAAATTTTAATATTATTGCAATGTAGTATTTAAGTTTGTAACTAGATTTTTCCAAATTTTAGTAATTAATGTTATATTATTTTTTAACTCCAAATTTCCCTGATCATGTGGAAATTAGAGATGTCTTCTCAAAATACTTTCTAACTAAACAAGGTTTTTTTTAGTACCTACCCATATAATTGACTTTCGTCATTCAGGTATCAGAAGAGCAGATGTGTTGACCAGTCTTCCAGGGACATCATAAGACTATGTTACCTCTACAGTAAGGAAGGTTAGTACAGAGAAGAAAAGAACATCCATATGAATAGCTATAGAAGAAAAGGAGCCATTCTTTATCATGCAAATGTGAAACAAATTAATCTTTTTAATCCCTATTTTTTTTTTAATAAGAAATTGGTTGCTGGCATCCGAATATTTTCCCCACTTTTTTAGTCAAACTTTTAATCTACATGTTCTTTAATTAGCGTACTTTGTTACTTTCTAGCATAGAATTACAACAAATATGAACAGGCTTTTAAGGATCTTCCACTCAAGGTATTACTCATAGCATAAGTGATCTTAACTAGTAACATGAACTGCTGATTCAAAGCTATCAGAATGCAAGTCACTTGGTTACAAAATGTGTGAAAACGAATAAATAAGGTACTTAGAATATCAGGCCAATATTAATTGTAACTAATTGGGATGTGCAAATATGAACTGCTTATATCTTTTGTGATTCTTGACTGCAACATAAAGGAAAACAGCTACAACTTAATGCTTAAGCCCATATTTCTGGAAAGTTTAGCCAATATTTCAACAGTATTAATCGAAGACACTGTTCTGCAGTCTCACAAAAACCCGAATGACTGTTTTGACTTTTTCCACAAGTCACAATTTCCTTGAAATTGTAGTTAGTGAGAGTGCAGAAAAGAGTCGCGCTGCAATTTCACTGAGAGACCTAAGAACGAGTTTTGATTTCTTCCAGAAAACCATACCTCTTATACGATGAAAAAAAAAAGTGAAAACTCTTTATGGCAGATAAAAGAACAACAACAAAGTTAATTCCGGCATATTTATTCAATTTACATTATTGGCCTAAGAAATGCAATACACACTTTAATGATCAAAACACCAGCGCAATGTGGCTAGTGGTAAAAAAAAATGACTATACATTTTTCACATTATAATGAGAGTTAGAGCAGAAAGCACATTAGCTGTCTTCACTGTACATTATAAATATTTAACAACTTTGCAGAAACAAACTCACGTTTCTACAATAACACATACACACCTAACTAGAGTGCTAAAAAATTAGACCTCGGTTCTAATCATTTCACTTTTGTTCAACTATGTTTTAATTTAATTTAAAAGGAGTGCATTTTGAAACATGAAGAAGGCAGTATAAGTATTTACATATTTTGTGTAAACCAGCCTGTCAGGGCCAGCCTTTAAGCTGGCTCTTTTTCAAGATTTTGATTTTTTAAAAATATAGCATATGAGTATGAAACTACACACTAACTGACCAAAATTTTGAGCACAAACACTACAAAAAATTCTGCATAACTTCTAAGGATAAAAATCATAAATTAAGCAGGCACATTACTAAAATTATGAAATAAAATGCAGTGCAGTATCAAACATTGTAACTTCTTGGATAAAAAGCACAGAAAATTTATTAAATGCCTTTTTGGAAAAGAGATTGATTAAGTATTATATTTCACAGCATATTTTGAATAAAGAAAAAGATTTAAAATATTTCACAATCTTCAATTTTTATATTCACAATAAAAATTAGCATAACAATTCCGAATTGAACTTAAAATTATCATTTTACTGAATTACCTTAATAGCATTTGTAGCGGAACTTGTAGATCTAAATGGGTTCCGTTTATTTTGAAGCTTAAAAACTTTTTTTACCCTCAACAACTAAACTTTTGTTTAATCATTGCACTAAAACATGTTAAACAAAGTAGCAAGGCTTGAGTTAAATAAAGATACATAACAATATCTGACATTTGCAATCACTGAGGATGCTGTAGTAAAGTCTCAAAACTGGTGAAAATCTTCAATCTATTAGATGTATGTTCAGTGATTTAGGGTTAATGTGAACTGAATTGTACAATTCATAGAATTGTCAGTTTAGAATCTTGTACACATTTTGTTACGAGCTTTTTAACTTCCATTTTGAAGAAATAATATTTATTGTAATTACTACATGCAATATTGTTATGAGAATCAGTATGAAAAGCATTAAGCTTATTTGCAATTCAAAAATTGATCAACAGATATAGAAATAAGGAGAGTTTAAATAATTTTACTGAAATTTTAAATTATGTTAATAAGGAAAACTTTGAAAACTAATTTAGACTGTAGAATGCAATTGCAATTAATGTTGAATAATACAATTCCTTAAAAAAAAATTACATTCTTGAATTAATAGACTTTGACATGTTCATGACAATTAATAGATTTGACATATTCAGTTAAAAAAAAAAGTCTTTCACAGAAAAAATGCTTAGACCTTAACTCTTATTGAAGTTAAACCATTATTGACATTAGTTTATTTGAAAAATGACAAATTTGATTGACAAATATAGTTTATTTGAAAAGGTCAAAATTAGGGGAAAAAAATAACCCTTTTTCTAAAAACAAAACCAGATTCCTGTTAAAAAGCAGATTTAAAAGCTTTTTTACAAAATTGAATATCTTCTACAGAGAAATATTGAAAGATTTCCTTAAATACAAACATACAGTTAATACCAATAGCACCAAACTACGATGTTGAACTTGTCTGCTATTGTTTATAATGCTCAAAAACCAATGCAAAAGTCACAGACCATATTGAAACATTTGCAACAGGATTTCTGCTTACTGAATGATGTTGAACCTTGGCTTGAAAATATTATTTATAAACAGTATTTATATATTTACACCTTTTCTATGATCAATAATCAATGAAAGTTTTAAAAAAGAACTATAAATTAGTAATAAAAATTACCAGAGTAAGGAACTTTAATATCTTAACTTTAAAATAATTTTGAAAAAATTAGTTAGCATAACTGATGCCAATCAAAACATTTCTGCAGCCGACGAAATTAAGTTCTCGTTTAATGGTTAAAAAACCGATGCATTTACAGAAAAAAATTCAATTTTTTAGTGAACAAAAGTAAAACCTAAAAAAATAAAATGCAAAAGAAAACTGCAAGATTTTATTTTTTTTTAATAACAATTTATCATACATACAGCAAACGGCTTACACCTTATAAAACAATCGGATAATTAGAAACACATTTTTAATAAAAACAACAAAATAAGATTTATATTTGGTCAAAATCATTGTAACAAAATAAAAACAAAATTACTACACATTAATGTTTAGAGAAATTCTCAAACAATTGATGACATAATAGTCAAAAGTCAGTCAAAGACAACAGCTTTGTCCTTAACACACATGTTTTTATTAACAATTGATTGTAAATATATAGTGGAGTGGATAAAAACCCATATAAAAACAAAATTAAAATAAATTTTTACAATATTTCTTAATGCACTTTTATAAAACATGGCAAACTTATTTTCAGCAGTTAAAAAAGAACTTATCACTTATTTTATTTCCAGTCTTTGACTAACAATATATATATATTTATAACATTTGTCACAAATCCCACGTCCAAAAAATTTTCAAATCAAAGTGATGGACATAGAGGACAAATATATTGTCCCGCATGTTCTAAGGCCATTTATTAAACTTTCCAAAAATTACAGTAGCTTGTGATACAATATTGCCTTATTCTGAATTATTTTCAGCTTCAAGATCATCAGCATCATTCATAAGGTGTGAAAATTTATTAGCAGATGTATAAACCTGAAACAAACATTTATATGAATTTAAAACTATGGTTCTTTAAAAAAAAAAAGGAGGGGGGTACATAATACTAGATTAAAAATTACTCATAGAAGAAAATTTACTAACAGATGCATAAACCTAAAATAATGTTTAGACATGCTGAGTGTCAAAGACTTCCATAGTCTAAGATAAACTTTTTTTGCACGCTTAACTAGCCACAACTTCAGCATAAGTCCATGTGGTTTAGTCAAATGCTATTGCAGCAGTTATTGGTACACATTTCTGACTATACCCATAGCAAAAACTGATGAAGTGCAATAGACATAGAATATTTAATGCTGACGGAGTAAAATATATTTTATATTAAATCTAGGAAGCAATTTTGTAGAATAGCAAGTCGAAAAAAGTGTTAGTACTGTTAAATAGTAGTTTTTAAACTTCCCCTTTTTCCAAAAATTATTTATTTTTTTCTTGGCGATCTCTGCATGAATTTTCAATTTCAGTCTTTTTCAAATTTGAGTAATAAATTTTTGAGGAGGTTGTGACTATTGGGTTGCTAATTCATGCTGTTTTCCAATCATTCTCTCAGCAGTTATTTAAAATATTTTTAGTTTTAAGCATTGTCACACGGTCAACCAAAATGCAATATTTTTCGACACATGAAATTACCACACTTGAATTTCAAATTTGAATAATAATTTTTGTAACATACTCAATTTGCGTTGGTTCCATCCTAAATCCATCTTGTTTCTCAACAAAGTTTATTGAATTCCAATTTTTCAAAATATTTCAACACACGAATTTTTAATTTGAGTTATCACATTTTGATGTGCTTATTTCAGGACTATTCCATCGTTCATTGATGATGAAATTTTGCAACTAACTTCTGAGCAGTTGTTCTTCGTTTTTACAGTTTTTGTCACAATCATGATATTTTTAATATGTTATTAAGATAGATATGGTCAGTTGTCTTATTTTCGGCACGGTAATTCCACATCATTCCTTAAATCTAAAATAGGCTATTACATACCTGCCAAGTTTGAAGAAATAAAATAACGGAGATATTACTAACGACATTTTTTTGGGCTGCAAGTTAAGTTTTGATACATCATGCATAACCATGTAAATCAAAATGGGAAATAATATAAACTTACATTTAGCAAATTAAAAAATATGTATATAAATCTTGATGTAACGAAGATTTTTTAAGCCATTATTTATAATTACTTAATCTATAAACACTCAACATACTGCAGTACTGGCAATAGCACTATCTGTTGAGAAATAAGAGAAGTATTTTTACAATTATCGAATATTCCAATGCCAAAATTCGTTTTTTTCTTCTTTTTTCAATTTCTTCAACAAATACGGAGAAATTTGAGACCATACGGGTAAACATGAGATAGGAAAAAAATACAGGAAACTTCGTTAAAAAGCAGGTATGCTATAATTACTAAAGTCGTATGTGGAATTGCACACACTTGATTATTTAAACTTTCATCCGAGTACAAATATTAAATACAGTGAAACCTCAGTTAAGTGGACATTCTTGGGGGCAATAAAAATTTCCCTTTTTACAGGAAGGGTACTCTAAAGAAAAAATTAAATAATCTACAATAACTATCTACTAGGATATTTATTTAAACTTTAAACAGATACAGTATTTTCAGCATTGTACATAAGCTGCAAATTTTGCAACAGATTTTGAAAATTAAAATCTAGCTCTGATTAAATCTAATACAAAGTTTAAAAATAGTAAAGAAGATTTTAAGATATTAAAATTTAAGAAAGCAATTACAAATTACGTATTAAGTTGGGTAATAAACTACTTCAATTTTATTTCATCCACACACTACATTATCAGACTTACAGGAGGCTTTGGCTGCTCATAAGTTGTCGCATGCAAAGCTCTTTCTCGAGAATTATCACGATAATGGTTCGGTCTAGCACTTCTATGACCACCTTTTGCAGGTTCTGTATAATTTTCTTCATTGTTTTCATGTGAGTCATCACCATCATTTCTCGTGTGATAACTACTGCTGTAATTTTCTGAAACAAAATTAAACATATCACTTGTCAATAAATTTTTTTTATACATTATTTATGTGTGAAAACAATTTTAAACATAAATAAAATATGGTATGCCTTGAATAATATTGAATCTAATAACTGAATTTTCACATTAATTTTACATAATTTCCAAATTAATTCTTTTTTAATTTTAGAGGGGCAGAACAAAAATTTGCTAGGGTTCATATTTTTGACCCTCTACTTGCAGAAGCAGTCATAATTCAGAAAATATACCAATAGTTTAGTCGGAACGACTATCAATATTTTAAATATGGTAAATTTAACTTAGAATAAATTTTTTTTAGAAAAAAAAAATTTAAAATAAAAGTTTCTGTGATTTTTTAAAAACAAAATTTAAATATTATTCAAATCAAATTGTGTCAGTATAATTGCAACTAAAGGGGTACACAAAAAATATTTTATATCATTAAATACATACTAAATGTAAACACATGATTTAAATTTTATGAAAATGGAATAGTGAAGAATGGAAATCTACCATTATTAACTACTGATAAACAAACAAAAACAAAAACTTTTGAAATAAAAAAAAAAAAATTTATTAATAAACATTAGAAATATTTGAATATTTTTTTTATATTAACTAAGTTAACAAACCCATTAATTATATAACAAACATCCACTTTAAGAAAAGGCAATCCGAGTTTACCTAAACACATCTTATGTCAATGCCATATTTGAATAATTTTAAAAATTCAGGAAGATAATTTTTGAAATATTTTCATATTGGAGCTATGTTTTTTGAACTAAGAATTGATAGGAGGGATTTTCATTAACCATACTTTTGTGGAGAAACCTTTTTCTGATACATACACTTATATAAAAGCTGCATTAAATTTTCAATTTGTTTAATATCCGCATTTTAAAAAAAATTGAAAACATAAGATTTTTAAATATAATTTCGTAACTGCATTACTCTTAAGTACAAATAAACAAGACTTGTTTAAATCAACACTTCGCTCATGGACTGCAATATATTCTTTTCAGCAGCAATGCTAGCACAACTCATAATTCAACTTGAAGCTAATCTTCATTTAAGCAAACTAAAGCAGAATCAATATTTAAGTATGGAAAAAGCGCAAAGAAAGAAAAAAAAACGTATTAAGATCTTTTCAGACATCCCCCTCCCCCCAAAATTGAGAAGAGTGTGAGATATTTCCATCTATATCCAGGACTTGTATTTAGAAATTAATACAAACACAGTTGAATATTTTACAAAATTTCAGAATCAATATTTCATTTATAGAACTTTGGAAAAACACAAGACTATTACAGAAGCACTTTGAATTTAAACAAAGTATCAAAAAAAGAACTTACTGGTTGGTTAACCAACATACTTCTAAAATTATAGATTAATTATAGGGTAGGGGTGCACAACCTGCGGCCTTTTCTATTTGTTTGAGTATTACCACCTTTGGAATTAATTTGGTTGTCTTTATCACTTCCAGTACTACTGCTGTTACTGCTACACCGCTGCCTTGTTTTTGGAAGGGTATTATATGTTTGGTTATCCCTTTCCTGCTAAAATATAAAATGATAAATATAAAAGAATGATGGCATGAACATCAAAATGAAAATTCATTTTTTATTTATAAAAACTTAATGCACTAAAATTTATTGCGGTACAATTGCACACATTTAAAGTAAAGAATAATTAACTATTCATAACAAAAGTTATGAATAATTAATTCAGTTTAAAGCTGATATAACAATTTGATTTCAAAGTGAAAAAAAATATTGATTTTTTTAATTAATGAATCCTGTTTCATTTTGAAAAGATTGGACAAGATATTTTAATTATTTATTTCGCAAATTTTTTGCCTTCTCAAATGAAAACTAGAAAAAAATTTAATAAAAATATCCTTATTCCTACTATCATAAAAAAGCAACAAATATTACTTAAAAGTGCTATATAGTATTTATTGTAAAACTGCTTGATATAAAAAATACTTTTCATTATGAGGTAATTGCAGTAATATTTTATTATCTACATTTATGTCATCCAAACACTTATAAGCAGGAAAAGTTACAAACAATATGAGTTCATAGCACTAGACGCAAACAAAATAAATGTATCAGATTATATAAATAAATACTGTATAACATATTTTCAACAGTCCTTGAGTGCCATGGGAACAATAATAAGCAATATTCAGAGAGTAGATTTTTTATTACTAAAAACAATTCATACCTGTCTGGGAATAGGAGGTTTATATGGAGGCGCTGAAACATCATCATGGTGCAAAGAACCAGGTGGACCAGATTCAGAGGAGCGCCTTGATCGATTACTTAATCCTGAACTAGAACTGTATTTTCGCACTCTTCCTTCCTCCACACTGATTAAAGAGAAGAAAAAAAATTAATTAATTTACAAAATCAAATTTTGTGTAAAAACTATTTTATTTTTAGCCTAATAATGAAGCTTTAGTCCCATATTTAATCATAATATAATATGCCGTTCATTAGAATAGACACAAAAGACAGTAAGGTAATCCCTCCAGTAAGAAAAGGTCAAAAAGACTGTTTGATGATAAATTATTTATGATAATAATCATTGATTTTTATTCACTCAAAATATATGTGGCATTTGATATAAACAAAAGCAAAAAAAATTTTTTTTTAAATTAAGATCTAAAATTATAAACAAACCATAAGGGGTTATTCATCAGAATGTGCATTACTAGTATAAATAATTAAAATTAGAAAATTTCTAAAAATTAATATACCTTTCCTTTGTTCCTTCCTTAACGCCACTTTCTTTCTCCTTCGCAAGACGTTCTTCAATTTCCCGTTCTCTAGCAGCAGTATCTACTGGCTTAGCACCACCAAAAATAGAGCTTGAAGCAACAGCTTCAGCTGGTGGGGGAACCGTTTCAATAGGTTTTGTACGGGGCGCTAATTGCAGCTTTGGTCTCTCTTTTTGAGAATTACCTAAAATAATTTATAACACCATTAAAATACTTGTTTTTGGACAAAAATTATTAACAATGAGTAAAATTGAGAGCTATTGGTATACATGTAATATTAATTCAGCAATATAGTTTATATTAAAATAATTTATATTATAATAAATAAAAGATTTAAAAACTGAAAAAAATAGGGGAAATAGTAAAACAGACAAAGAAAATTCCACTCAGTATTATTGAGAAAAAATATCCAGAAGGTAACAAAGATTTGATTACAACAAAGGCAAAAATTATAGATGAGAATTCTCACAATTTGTATAACTTTTCCAGCCTAAAATTAAATATAAAAATAAAAAATATCTGAGAATAAGTTTATACTGGCAACTTTTTTAAAATTGAATAAACATTTCAATGTTAAAAGCAATAGTGAAAAATCCTTTTTACATAGAATACATAATACATACACATCCCTAATAAAAGCCAGTATATTTTAGTAATGGTCAATTTAGATAAGCTTTTTTAAATTTTTTTCAATTAAGGTAGTTATCATTGAAAATTTTCTCCTTAGTAATTAGTTTCCAATGGCAAGCAGTCTGTAAAAAATTGGGGTTTTTTAGAAAAACCTAACACATTAGGGTTATTTTTTTTTGGGGGGGGGGCAGAGTTTTTTTCAAGGTTTTATTGAGTTTTTGCATGGCTAGTTATGTCTTTACAAACTAAAGTTTATTAAATTTTTTTATTATTATTATTTATAGTGTTAAGAGTATGAACATGGAATTGAACTTAGAATATAGTTCCACACTATTTGCAATGAAACGTAATTGTCTTTTCATACTTTTTAACATAACTGCAGGCTATTGATCAAGTACTCGCAAAACAGTATCCTTTAATGTNGGGGGTTTTTTGGGGGGGGGGGGGTCAGAGTCTTTTTCAAGGTTTTATTGAGTTTTTGCATGGTTAAATTAGGTCTTTACAAACTAAAGTTTATTAAAAAAAAAATTTATTATTATTATTTATAGTGTTAAGAGTATGAACATGGAATTGAACTTAGAATATAGTTCCACACTATTTGCAATGAAACGTAATTGTCTTTTCATACTTTTTAACATAACTGCAGGCTATTGATCAAGTACTCGCAAAACAGTATCCTTTAATGTCAATCACAATAACAGAACTTTCACTCTTCTTTTAGGGAAACTTGGTGAAAACCCAGTTTTTTTCATTAAAAAAACCTTAAAGCAGGCAGTTTGGAAAAAGTTGTTTAAAAAAAATTCTAGAATATATAGTTCTGTTACAGATAAATTTTGGGAAAATTAAATATGAACATTACAACAAGATTACAGTAATTGCAAAATAAATATTATTCAGATAATTTCTAATGTATAAATTTTGAGACTTATTCAGCTTTAAAAATTAATAACCAATGTACAGTATATCAACTTTAACCTGCATTTTCTTAATACTTAATACACAATTAAAAAGAATATACTTAAAGAAATTAAACTCACCACCACTGTCATAAGAAGGCCTGTCAGATGGCGGTCTCCGCTCAAAGCTTTCACGGGGTTGATATTCTCGCTCAGCAGAATCACGATATCGATTATCTCTAAAAGAGTCATCTCTTCGACTAGAGTAGCTGTCTCGGTTATATTCTCGCCCACCACCACGTTCATACCTTCCACCTCCGCGATTTGAACCTTGAAAGAAAAAAAACATTAGTTTTATTTCAATTGATGAAAATGCAAACAGAAAACATAGTGCAAGTCAACTAAGCTGGTAAAATCAGAAATTTTTATTTGAGATAACCAACCAAAGCAGGAAATATGTAAAAGTTGAGCCCCAGTTCAAAATTTTACAGAAATTTCCTTGCTATGCTCTTTTTTCTCTTTGAGTGACACGGAAAAAAACAATCTTTAGATGCAGGAAAGCCTGGTGCTGTTGAAAGCTCATTAGGACTAGCACTCAGAGGGTTAACTAACATAATTTGAAGTATACTATAAAGTAAACTTCACTAGGTACATGATTTATAAGTTATGTTAATAAGGCTTGGGTTACACCTGAAAAAGATGAAAGATTAAGAGTCAAAAGCTCTGAACTATGAAGAATGAAGTGCTGTTCCAAGGCAGACTAGAACCCCTAAATGGCTGTTAGACCAATGAGCAGTACTGTAGAACCTTGATTGATTGCTTCGAATGGAACCAGTAATTGTGATTGGTAAACTAGGGAGAATAATCAATCCATGGCAACATAAAATATTAAATAGTGACTTAAAAATTAATTTGCAAAAAGTATACAAAAAATTTTAACTGAAATTTTTGGAAATTTGGAAACTGGAATTTTTGGAAATTTTGTTTTATGAACACACCTTTCTTAACAATGCAAACAATTTATTTATTTTTCTTGCAAGAATGTTCCAAGTGAAAAACAAAAAGATCCTCATTGTTTCAAAGGATTCAAGGCCCTCTACAATTTTTAGCACTGTTAGTGGTTCTATTTTGTCATATTCAGAAATATCTTAGTAGTTCTTCAGCTTCTTCAATTCACAACACCATATGTTTCAGCATTCTCATCAACTAGTGCATAAGCATCAAACATGCTTTTTAAGAATTTTCTGCCTAACTGTTTTCATCATTTACAGCAATTAATTATTAAAAGAATAAATAATATTTGTAACAATACAATTAAAACAAGATGATACATATACAAAAACAAAATATGTGGGAACAATAGGTGAAGGTTCGAAGCACAATAAAAGTTTAAAACATGTTATGGTATTTGTGGCATCCCTCAAATAAGAATTTTACAATTAAAAATCTGAAATAATTCTTATTTTTATTAAATTAAATTAATAAAAGGGAGAGGGAAATTTTGAGATGAAGCTTTTTAAAAAGAGTGCGAGAAGGACATTAGCTTGCCTGCATCGAAGACTAGGGCACTTCACTGAAATTAACAAGGGAAATAAGATTTCCTTATACTATCAAAATTGGCAATGTTTAGTTAGCCCCCGTGATCTGAAAATATTCGAGAGATGTTTTGGTTTGGTTTCAGAGGGTAGAAAATGAAGTCTAAAATTTAGAAACTCCTGCAAAATGCAGCAAAATTGTATATGAGAGTGCAAAAATCCATACCAAGGAACACAGTTCAGTATATGCACATGCAGACCTGCAAGCATGTCATCCAACATGTAAAATTATTAGGGCTTTTATACGCTAAGGACCGATGGTACATTGAAATAGATTGTGGTTCAATGAATTGTGAAAATGTTGAATAGAACAATGTGAAAACCACACTTTATGAAGAAATTCATGGAAAAAATCGACATGATAAAGAAAAAATCTCATATAGGAATAGGGAAAATGGCAGCTTTTAAAAATTCTTAATAGTTTACCGCTATACAAAAAGAAATGTTGAACAAAACATATACCTAAAAAGACAGCAAAATTAAGAAACTTACCTCGATCAGAGGAAAACCCATAACCACGCTCATTTCCTCTTCTCTCAAACCGATCGTCTTTATTGCCAAATTCTCTGTCATTTCTATTGCCATAATCATTTCTACTTTCAAATCGATCACCATTTCTTTCATTTCTGTCAAAACGATCCCTGCTGAAACCAGAATCTCGATCAAAGTTATTTCTAGATCTGAAAGAATCTCTGTCTCGATCACCAAATCCTCCTCTTCCAGATTGAAAACTATCCCTGTCTAAAAAGTTAAAAAATAAAATAAATATCACTTTTTTTTTAGCATTTATCACATGGTTGCCACAGCAAAAAAGGAACAAAAATAGTTGCTTTTAGTAGCCTCAAGAAGGAAAATAGTTGCCTAAAACTACGAAAATAGTTGCCTGAACAGACTCAAAAATTTATCAAAAATAGTAGCCAAATAACTAAAATTATAGCTTATTTGTCGTATATTATGATTAGGACTGGGTGATGTCAGAAATTTTAAATCTTGATATATCGCTATATAGCGAATTTAGCAATGTTCAAAAATTACCTATGGCAAATCTTTAAATCAATCAAAAATAAATTAAAAGAAATTAATCTATTACAAAAGAAAATACTAATTCTAAACATAGTCCACTATGACATCAATATCATTGCTTAATATTGTCAATTAAAATAATAAAGAAGTCAAAGTAAACCCAAGTTTTATTTCATTATTCTTAAATTAAAAATGATTTGATTTATTGGTTTAAAAATAACACTATAACAAAATATTATACATACATGCATTAAAAATTAAAAGAAGAAAAAAAAACCAAAGTAGTAAACAAACCAAAGAAATGTTCACTTCAGAAAAAAAATATTTTTTTAAAATTATTTGTTGAAAAAAAAATCATGCTTTTGAAACATCATTAGACTCTCTTTTATTTAAAATAATAAAAAGTAGTATTGACTAATGGTCAAATCCTGTACTTAATAAATGTAAAAATATTTTTTCTTTATTATTTTCTTTTTTGAAAATAAAATCGACTAAAGATTTATTTGTTTAAAAATGATACTGACTATTTAAAAAAATTATAAAACAAACAAGTATTGAAAGAATTTTAATAAAAATTCCAAAAAAAATACTTTAAGAACTAATGTTAAATTATTAAAAAGCATCAAAACATTACTAAATTCTGTATTTAATTTTTAAAAAAATTATTTGTTTTAACTGTACTACGCACATGGTAGGCGACAATAAGTACATGTTAGTGAGGGGACTGAAAAGTAAAGTTCATTTTTGCGAAAGAACTTCGCTAGAAGTAAAAAAGCCTCCTAATAGTCGCCTATTCCAGAAAATAGTTTCTTTTTTAGCCTTTTTAGGCAAAAAAAAAGTAGCCATAATCGGCTAAGGCCGAAAATAGTAGCAAATAGTCGCATTTTAGTAGTCTGTGGCAACCCTGTTATCATAAAGACTGGAGCAGTCCAGATTCAACATCAAAAAAACTACTTTATAAGTATAAGATAGAAAATTTGTAAGAACTATGAAGATTTGGCATGTGGATAAACCCAATCAGAAACCTGAGCAATGTAAGAAGTCAAACAAAATATAATAAAAATTTTATTTTCCGCCACAATTTTATAAAATAAAAATGCACCAGCACCTTTTCTTAAAAAATCTTTTTTTTTAAATGATTATTTCTGAAAAATAACTTTATAACAAAATATAAATAATGAAAAAATATACTTATTTGACATTTAAAAAAATAAATAAAATCACTTGTTAAATAATTTTTTTTAAATCTTCTTCGTACAATTCATAAATTTAATGATGGTCCAAATATAATACTACTGAATATACACTAAAGTTCTCGATTTAAAAAGAAAATATCCAAAACACTAAAAGGAGATGCTTGTGCTTTTAGCATAATCAGTTATATGTAATATATAAATAATGAAAGCAAATTAATTTATTCAACATTATAATTTTTTACAGCATTATTATAAAATTGAGCAAAGATAACCCTTGTTTACTTTCTTCAGATAAACTACATCCCACCTTCTAATCTTAAAAGAATTTATTGCACGAGTGTACAAAATTTTGAAATGGTAAGATAATTTTGGTAACTTTTAAAAAGCTTCAAATAACTACATATACAGTGAAACCTCTCGAGAGAGACCACTCTCCATTCCACAGTAAAATGGTTGTTGATGGAGGTTGGTCATTCTTAGAGGTTACTACACACATTGAATTCAAAATTGTTATCGAAGATGCATAACTTTTGGCAAAAGATTTAATTTTAATCAATGTCATTTCCTTGGTGCGAAAATGCCGCTTCTGTAGGCGTCTTGAAAATGCAGATCGATGAATAAAATTTAGCACCATTAAAAATGACTCAACTGATATAATTATGTGTAAAACAAATTTACCAAGTATGAATGATAAAGCTATTTTAAATAATTATGCTTTTGTTTAAAATTTTGTCTCATAATACATTATAAAAATTAATTAGTTTTAAAAGAGGAGAAAGTTATACCACTACGACAAGTTAGTGACAACTTTGCATTGCGAAAGGGAGCAGACAATTCATGATTTACGAGCCTCTTAACTGTCCTCGTGACCGGGGAGAAAGTTATACCACTACGACAAGTTAGTGACATCCCTTGCATTGCGAAAGGGAGCGGACAATTCATGATTTGCGAGCTTCTTAACTGTCCTCATAACCGCTACGACCTCCACACATGAAACCGGTTCCCTCCCCCATCTTATGTGTTGTATACTTTCGCCGTGCACCCGCTAAGTCATTGCATGGAAAACAAACGAGATAAAATGTCTTCACAAGATAAAATTGTATGTGGTGTGCATATGAATTAGTTAAAAAAAACATAAGTACACATTTTATAAGACAACACTCTAATCAAGATATTCATTGGAACCAAACCCAAGCTAGAAAGGGTAAAAAATGTTCCACATTTAAAAATTAATAAAATAGGAACTTGAAAATTAATAATGTATAAAAAAGAAACTGAGTTAATACTTGATTCGGAAAAAAAAGCTTTGAAAAAATTACCATTTCTATCATCCCTAGAAAATGCCTGATCTTTTCTATCTGACCTCCAATCACCTAATGTTCTATCAGGGCCAGCATCTCTTCTGTCTCCTCCTCGATCACCATCTAAAAATTAAAAGAAAGAAAGAATTTTATTTTACAAATAAAACAACAAATTAACAATTTTCCTATGCAGAAATTTAAGTAAAATTTCATATTTTTGCAAGTATGTGTAAAAATTTCTCTAGGATATAAAACTTTCTCTTTGATTAATGATGTAAAAAATCAACTTTCCATCAGAAAAATCAACATGTGAAAACACATAATTAATGCTAAGTCTGTAAATAAATTTACACAGCAAAAATAACCAAATTTAAACCAGCGCTGTTTACATTGAGCCCTACTTAGTACATGCATTAGAAAGATTTAAATTTGACCAAGTTTAAAGCTTACGTTTGCCTAGCAAATAACTGTTACAAAGTATCCCAAATATTTAACCACTCCATTTAACTATCTAGTTAATGTTAAGTTTTCAATAAACAATTCAAAACTAGCCTTTTTATTCCCTAAATATGCTAAGCAAATACAATAATAAAACTAAATACTTAATGTCTTTATATTACATAACAACTTCACTCAACATGCAATTAAACACTTAACATATCTTTAAGAGTGATTTCTCCCCTTGCTTGTCTGTAATGTAAAAAGCCATACTTCAGTATTATTTATTTAATATAATTTAACACCATACATTTTTGGTGCATAATATCAGTATTAAGTTTTTTGAAACATACATTTTCTGTTTTTTAACCATTACTAACACAAATTTTGATCCTGATATTTCGGATGTTTGTTTTCAGAATATTTACTGTACAAATACTAAGACAAATCTTAAAATGAACAGTTTGAATAATCGAAAGATTTGAATTTTTTTTTTTATCTGATATCTTTTCGTTTAACCAGAGCCGGATTATACCTTTCGTAGGCCCTAGGCCAGGGATGGCGAACCAATGGCACGCGTGCCATAAATAGCACGCTACACAATATTCTGGGCATGCCACCGATCACAAATTTCACTATAAAGCATATTAACAATTAAATTAAAATTTACAAAAAACAAGTAAAAAAAACAATTAACAAAAATTAACAATTAATGCCAAAAAAAACAATTAATAACCACAAAAAACGAGCTAACAATAAATAACGAGCAGAAAAAAATAATAGTCCTGCTTAAATTAACATCTTATAACCTAAGTTATTTGTCATCTAATCTGCAACAACAGAAGTCACACTGATGTTACTTTAATTGAATTACGCGTATAACTGAGACACTGCAAAATCGTTTTTTTTTCATAGTAAATAAAGTGTTTTGAGTTAATAGTATTTAGTATTATTATTTTCCCAATAATCACAAAGTAAAAATCATTTGACAGCCCGTCCATGACCTCATTAAACAATTTTTTGAAAAATGGCACGTTGGTGCATACAGGTTCGCCACCCCTGCCCTAGGCACAGCCGTTTATGGGCCCTCCCCTCCTTCCCCCACTCCTCCCCTCTTTTCAAAATATATGCTACAATTTTCTTCGTATGGAAACGTATTACGCAATTTTAGATGTAATTATTTCAGAAATGACTAAAAGGCATAAAGCTTACAGTGATTTGTACGATAATTTCGGTTTTCTTGTTCACAAAAATTTGTCAGAATCTGAGATTAAACTAAAAGCGCAAAATGTGATGAAATTTTACTCATCCGATTTAGAGGAAAACTTTGTAGATGAATTTTCACTATTTTCAAATTTGTATAAACATAAATCTCCACAAGAAATGTTGAAGGCCCAAATTAAAGATAAACTTGTGAATACTTTTCCTAACGTTCACATTGCATTAAGAATATATTTGTCGATTCTTGGATCAAATGCAGAAGGAGAAAGATCTTTTTCCAGATTAAAATTGATAAAAATTATTTGCTTTCAACAATGAATCAAGATCGTTTGGCATCGCTCGCACTTATGTCCATTCAATCCGACATTTTGCGTAGTTTGGAATTCGACAGCATAATACAAGATTTCGTTGAATCCAAAAATCGCAAAAAGTAATATATCAGATCCTAAGATTCCGCAAAATAATTTATTACCGCAAAATATTATATTTTTATTTGTATCTTCATAATTTTGTGCAAAATATACTTGTTGTTTTTAAAGCTAAACTATTTTTGTCAAAAAAAAAAATTTCTCCCAAGTTTTTCGTAGGCCCTAGGCACGTGCCTAGTGTGCCTATAGGTTAATCCGGCCCTGCGTTTAACCCAAACACTATGACGTACATTCACTGTTTTTTCGAATCAAAATTATTGAAATTCCACTTTAAAATGTTTGTGTAGAAGCTAGAATGTATTTTCATGAGCTAGAACGTAAATTTTAAATAAATATTGGTAGGAAGTAACATTAAATACTTGAAACTGATTAGTTTTTTAGCACAACAATATTAAAATTTCCTAAATATTGATCTCTAGCTGTTATGAGTATCTCAGTGATCCATTAATAGAATTCTACAGGAAAAATTGTACATTTTATTTATTTATTTATTTTTGAAACATTATTTGCCCTTATTATAATTAAGTAGAGCAAATTCAACTTTTCATTTTGCTTTTTTAGAAGTAGACAATGTATACCAAAAAATGTCTTGCTTATTTCATTAGTCTACTAAGAGGTTAGCAATTTACTTAACATAAAGTAGGATTATATATAATTAAATACAATGAAAACATTGCAAATGAATTCTGAATATTTTCTGCGAAAAACTGCTTTTTTTAATATAAAAAATACTTAATAATCAAAAATATTTACAAAAAAAACCTTACAAACATTACAAAAATGAATAAAATCATTAACAACATTTATACAAATATATACAGTGCTTTTTTCCTCAGAAGTTTTTCAGTAATAGAACTAAACACAGCAAGAGTTAAAAGATGCATACTTCTGGATTATAGGGAAAAAAAACAGAATTATGAGCTGAAAATACCGAGCTAGAAATAATTTGTTAAAAGTAAAAAATACATAAATATTAAAATATTTAACTTAAAACATACCATGATCACCAGCTAAGCTAACTTTAATAGCCCGGTTTTTCATTGTCTAAAAAAATAATAATTTTATTAGTAAAAATTTCAGGAAAGAAATTAGTTAATATTTAGATTACAAAAATTATTATTGTCACCTCATTATTTAAAGCTAAGGCTTGAATTAAATCCTGACGACTTGAAAATTCAGCATATCCAAAACCACGTATTCGACCTCTTTCTCCCGTGTCACGAGGAAGGCGAACGTTTTGAACCTAAATTTAGATATGAACACAAAAAGGAATTTTTTTTAATTACATGATACAAATAAAATGAGTAAACATTTTTATGAATTTTCACACAACTGAATAAAATTAGATAGACACCATGAAAATAATAAAACATAAATAATAAATTTAAGATACAAATAAAAGTTTTTAAAAAAAGATCTATGCTAACATTAAACAACTGGGACCTGTAATCGAAACAATTCCGATACTCCAGCATCGGCTATAGCTTTGGTAATTTTGCTATATATTTATGCATACTTCTTAGTTTCAAATTTTGCTTTGAAATTTTTATACTAAAAATGAATCTTAGATTATAGTATACCATAATTATTAGATATCAGAATGAAAATAAATGCAAGTCAAATTAAGAACAATACTAAATAAAATATATCTGACACAAATTATCTACATTTGCAGAACTATCCCAAAAATCTTTCATTCTTTTATTTTGAGCCTGAAACCACTAATACAATATTTATTATTGATTAATACAATATTTATGATTACAATTTTATCACATTAAGACTTCCTTTTTCTGAAAAAATGTAACTAATACAGTATTTACATAAAGAAATATATTTCAAATATATTTTCTGTTAATACTGTATTAGCTTCTCTTAATTATAGTATAGCTAGCTATCTTTTCTGATAAAAATTTTTAAATAAAATATATTAATGATTTTTAAATATGATCAAATTTATTTATTGTTTATATTTACACTTAATATTAATGTATTTTTATTTAAGATATTAATTCACAAGTAAAATACTATTAATTATATACATATTGGCTAAGAGAATATTTTCCAACATTCTTCTGGATAAGAATATTCTTGAAGCAAGAATATTCTGCGAAATATCATGAACTGGCAATTTTTCCATTTCTAGAGCTAAGACACAAATTCAGAGCAGAACAATGAAACAGTAGCATGATTTCAAAGGCAGAAGATGGATCCAGCATCCTTTTTCTCAAAATGCTGCACAGGTGCATGTTACTCTCCTTCTACCAATAAAAAACATACCACGGAGTGATGTTCATTTCTGGGCACGTTTATGTATGCACAGCTATATATTATCTTTAAATGTTCTCTTAGGAAGACCGAAATCTTCTCTAATTTATTAATAATCCTGACCGATGGCACTATCACTATTGTATTACTGACATGATCATGCTTTTCTACAGTAATTTAACAACATTTTTGTATATATACATACCTGCAGCTGACGAAAAAACGTAACAATATCATCTTCTTGAACATCGTAAGGCAAATTCCCAAGGAATGCTGTAAATGGTGGTGAGGTAGGAACTTTACTAAGATCAAAATCAGGACCACGTGCAGCTTTTGGTGCAGTAGGCAAGACTAATTTCTCCTCTTTTTTATAATCTAAGGTGAAACGATCTGTAAAATGCATAAAAGAAAATTGCTAGGATAAATTTTTTTTCTAACTAAATAGTATTCAGATTCTTCCAAAATAAAAAACTTTATACAATTTTGACAGGTACACTAGTTTTAGAGTTTTGAAACACTTTATTAATTGTTCTACATATTGAAAAGAAAAATTAACTTTGTGGTCTAAGTTCTAAAAAGATCAGCTGGGAAAAATTCCTTAAGAAAAAAATTATTTTTCTTCATTAGAATGAATTATACAATATTAGAATAAAGACTTTTTTGTCCAATCCTGTTTTCCACGGCTTTTCTGGATACTACCAGTCTTTAGTCTTTTTCATTAGATTAATATTATTGATCGAACAGAACTGATAAAGATGTGTTGTGAATTGGGAAAAGTAGAATGATTTTTTGAAGAGATGCCGACAACGAGAGATAAGATTTAAAATATTTATTCTCTTTCATATGACTTTCTTTCCTTAAATTTTAGCAGTGCAGCTTGAAATTTTTATGCTAAAATTATATCTATGTAATTATGTAATACTTTTTCTTTCACCAAGAATAAAAGCAATAAATAGTCTTAATCTCTCTTTAAACGATATCTATAATTTTAATTGAAAGTATAATCAATCATTTGTTTAATATTTAAAAAATGAGTAGTGTTGACAACTTAACTATATATAAAACATAATTAAATAAAATATTTGTTACCATACATACCATCAAGATCTTCATTTTCCATAACATCTCCCCAATTGATATTACTTTTAGGTTGAACAAGAGCAAACCCTGCAGGGGGTTCTTCTCCAGCTGATAAGAACACATTGAGATCAACAGTTTTCCCTTTTGACTTTTTCTTAGATTTTGCTAAAGAAAGTGATAAAGGCTTTAAATGCTTTCCATATTTAATTTATTTATTTACAATACAATAGTTTAAGAATTTTTTTTTTTCAAAGCTTCCTCCAAGGAAAATAAGAAAGCCAAGTCTGAGGCACAAAAATTAGAGATAAATATTTTTATAACTTCTCATGGCTCAGACGAAATTCATGCAATATAAAAAGCAATTGATTCCCAACATTTTGTCCCAGCAAATTCCTTTGTAATCCATAATAACAGGTAAAAACAGAATAAAAGTTTGTAACAAATTTGTTTTCCATTTTGAACAATAGTTCACCACATGAAATAAAAAAATATTCTTTTGTAAAAATATTTATAAAATTGAAATTTTAAAGAAAAAACCAACTATTATTTAAACAGAATACTTGTCGCTGTCTAATTTAACATAGAAATTTGAAGATAGAACATAATCAGTCTGTAGCTAAAGTTCTACATTTATAGTTTTGTAGTAGATTTAAGCGGAAAATCCTTTCTCAAATAATTCAAATAGTAATAAAAAAATTTCATAGTTTTTTTAACAAAAAAATTTGTATTTTAAGTTTTCTTCATGATAGTGAGATTCTATCTATTATTAAAATAGTGATTGCCAAAAATCACTTGAAGCTGTTTCAGATGTTCAAAAATTTTATAGTTTCATCAAGTTTAAATTTTCAATAACAAAAAAATAAAAACTGCAAAGTAAATTCAGTAGATATTTCTTCCAAAAGATGAACTCTTCTTTAATGTGGTTTCAAAGTTATCTTGCAGACTAAAACTGGAGATAAACCCCTTGTAATGACAAATTACATTTATGTAATTTACAAAAAATAAATAAATAGACAATATATATATGGGTCATTCTCACAAAAACAGTCATTTTCATGTCCCCAGTATATTTTATGTTTGTTTTACAGCTTACGAAAAAAAAAAATTCAGGGAGTGTCCTTCAGAATGCAAGCTAACAAAAGAATAAAAATAAAATTATCAATTTTTATTTTTTATTAATTTTAGGTAATAAAAATATACCAAAATGTCATTCCCTCACTTGTCCCCACTGCTGATTTAAAAAAAGAAAAAAATTGTTTCTGATATAAAAATTTTTTTTTTACAAATTTGTGTTTTTTATTTGAGAATATTGAAATATAGAATTCAGAAAATAAATTTTAAATTTAATTTCTGATAAAAATATTAACACAGCACTATTTTAAACTTTGTCCCCAGTGTTTCGCGTCATTCCCTCACAACAATGTTCTTATCACCTGCAATCTTCTTAGAATAAAAATATTTTAATAAAAACTTCAGAAGTTAACAACTGGCATCATAGAACAAAATTGCAGTATGTTTCCATCTTCAACTTAAAGAAGCTTTGCTGTGGAATAAATTTGAATGAATCAAACCAGGTAAAATTTTTTACATTTGTCATTCCCTCATGTCATTTTTTAGAGTAAAATAAAATACAACTTCATCGAGAAAGTGGATAATTATATGTTGCTTTCTTGTATGAATATAATTGTATGTGATTGACTTCAGAAATTAATTAGGCCTAACTGTTATTTTTAAATTTTATTGAATTCGTCATTCCCTCACTAGTGTATAAAGTGAGGGAATGACGCTGAAGTGAGGGAATGATTCAAGATGAGTATATTATTAAATTTTTTTTTGTTCAATCGTGCCAGCCAATTTTATTTCCCAAACCTGTAAAAACTATTAAATATATAAGACTAAATTATAATAAATATTAGATATACTTAGTATGTTATCATTTTCAAACTTTAGGTAGATGTAACTTAGATAAAAACATGTATTAAAATAAAATATCATTCCCTCACTATTAGTGTCATTCCCTCACTTTTTAAATAGTGAAAATAATTAATTTACTTATTAATTAATTTGAAAAATAAATTAAAAAATTAATAAATTAATTTATTAAATTAATTAATTTATTTATTAAATTAATTAATTAATTATTAATTATTATAAATTAATTAATTATAAATTAATTATTTAAAAAATTAATTAATTTAAATATTAAGTATAATTTATAGGATATATACTTTCTTTATAATGCCATTACATATTTCTATTAATATAAAAAGTTTCAGAGCTTTTTATTCACTTTACTTTTTTGGGATTTTATGAACTGACAAATGACAGTTTTCGTGAGACTGACACACACATATATATATATCAGAGCTCATTCTAGGCAGGGTAAACAGGGCGCAGCACCCTGTTGCCCTTTTAGTCAACAGAATCCACCCTGTTGCCCTTTTAGTCAAAAGAATCCACCCTGTTGCCCCTGATGTAATAGACTCCAAACCCTTTCTTTCCTCAATCCTTCTTTATTTTTTCTCCAAACTGTACAATGGATTTCTTAAATTTTCAACTATTTTTATTTAGTTTGTCATTGCTGTCAATACATAGATTTATATGGGGGGAAAATAGCCATCACATCCCCTTGTTGCACTTGTCTTAGAAAGTTTGCAGTTGCTTCCACTATCATTAAATCATAATTATTATTAATCAATTTAATTATCAAATCATAACTACAGACACTTAAAAACATACATTAATAATTTTATTAATATATGCAAGCATTTTAAATAAATTACTAAGTTAATTAGCTCAATAACTCGATATATATGTTAATTTATTAATAAAAATGAGTAAATATGATTGCTTTGCTACTGTTAGTAAAATATAAAAAATTTCTTTCACCAAGTGACAATGTTTTTTCATAGAACGTGAAAAGCCCATAGAAAGAAATTATTGCCCTTTTAGAATAATAATGCCCTATTTTTAAACGTTTGCACCCTGCCCTTTTTTTAAACGTTTGCACTATATAAAAGCAAACAAATGAAAAACATGAGCGAGAAAATGTAAACAAATCCTTTTTATTTCATAAACAGTATTGGTGCAGCAAATATATGAATGGCAATTTATTACTTACAAAGGTCTGTCCAGACATTTTGTGAAAGATCCTGTTTTTGTAAAATTGTGAAAAAATAACTCGTAATTTGTGAATATAAAATAAACGTTAAGTCACATTCTTTCAATCAGGGTCCTGCTTTTATGAATGTGTGCAAATAGGGTCCGGTTGTTGCAAAAAACTTTTTCAANATGTGTGCAAATGGGGTCCGGTTATTGCAGAAAACTTTTTCAAGTTTTTAAATTGTAAATAGATAACAAGATTATGCTCAGCACTGTAAAATTATAATTTAAAAAAATTAAATTTTCAAAAATAATATTTTGAAAATTATTGCGAATATTGAGTTGCGAATTGAGTATTGAATTGAATTGCGAATATTGAGAAGCAATATTCGCAATTATTGCTTCTCAATTAGAGAAGCAACGTGCAAATATTTGGTATTGAGCCTAAACTGCTGAGCACAGAATATTCATTTCAGATATATTAGGATTCAGATATTCAGAATCATAATTAAATATATTATATAATATATTTTAATGTTATAAACCAGGGCATGAAATTTCAGTTTGAGAAATTACAAGAACATAAAAATATAGTTATTCATTAGAATTCATGGGTGGCAATGGGAAAAAAAATTCAAAGACTAAACTTGCATTTTAACTAATTAACACAGTCTAGCATTATTTAGCAGAATTTTAAGAAATTTAAAACCCACTTTACATGAGAATGGCCCACATATTATATATCAATAATTTTTATTATTTCCTTCTATTAAAAAAAAAAATAAGAACTAGTATTTTTCCTTATTTAACTAGTTTATTTTTTTAAAGCAAGCATGACAAAAATAACATTTGGATATTTTAAATTACCACTAGAGGCCAAGGTTTTGTCCACTCTTCTTCCCTTAGACATTTCACTTCCTTTGCCAGGTGCCAATGACCTTAATATTTCAGTTACTAATCTTAACTCATTGGTCAATAGAACCCTTGGCTTTTACTTTTTGGAACTTAATGCATTTTATATCTTATTTCATTCAGTGCTTTAGCACTGGTAAAGCTAATCATAGTTACTAAGACGATCATCTCTCTGAACCATACTACCTGTGGTTCAGACACTATGTTTTCTCTTATTATTCTCCATTTTTGGTGTAAACTATAGATCTACCTTCGTAAAGGTTCAACCTGAATAAGGTTCTTCAATAGCAAAGAGAACTGCTATTTCTTTGGCGTGTCTTTCAGTCCCTATTCTTACCACTGAATTGCAGCAATAAATTAACATTGAAATACATTAGATAAGACAATTTTTTTTTTACAAATTGAAATTATTTATCAGTTTTGTTTAAGATGTGCCCTTTGTGTAGGTAATTACTGGTAAAAAGTAAAATAGTAAAGTATTCGACAAATATCAGTTTTTGTTGTTTATAAATAAACCATTAAAAAAGCATTGAATTTAAGTGCTGATTTAACCATTTTTTATACAAAAAAAAATAGTATTTAAATACCCATACAAAATTTTACAAACTGCATAAACAGTTCAATATATATAAAATAAGGCATATTATTCGCTTCCTTTTCGATGTGTTATGAAAGCATAATTTGGTTATTCTTCTATCCAACTTTGAATAACTGACTTTATTAACTCCCATTTCATTTAATCCCTGTGGCAGAATTTTTTCGTGCTTTCTGCGACATACCTACCTCTCTAATACTTTCTTTCTGCAAGATACTTTTAAAAATAAGAAATATTTCGATATTCTTGCATTTTGTAGGGGGGAAAGACACTAATTATTATTTTTTTTCTTGTAAATCATCATAACATTAAAAAAAAATTGTGAAATCCGTAGCAGTAATTACCGAAAAAAAGATAAGACGGCAAAATCACGCAAATCATACTCTTCAAAAAGGGGTTACTTTTACTAAATGCATGTTTTCATTTAAGATTCATTAAGATGTAGCAATAAATACAGTATTCAAAATATTTAATTTTAAAAGCTATGTGTAAATCAATAGTAATAATTGCATTAAAAAATAGAACGAAAATTTTGCAGAAAAGAAAACTAAAACTTTTTTCTTCATTGCTCTTTATTTTTCGCTATTCTCAAATGATACCAGTAAAATCACAAGCACTTTTGTTCTCACTCTGATGGGCAAGAAAAGCATCTTATTTTTCATAATACAGAAGAAAAACAAAGTTTTTTTTTACTTTTGAAAGGAAAAATCTTTCTGCAAGAACTTAGTAACATTCAGCGACAATGTCGCCACGATTCTGCCACAGGAATGTGTGGCTTTGTTTGTACTTCTCTCTTAATGAGAATTTAAATAATGTTGCTATGTTTATAGAAAAGCAAACATGACTTAAATGTTTATGTTCGGTAATATCCTCTCTGCGACTTTTTGAAATTTTGCCTAGATTGCGATTATTACTAGAATCAATGTTGCTTTTTGTCAATTAAAAAAAAATTTAAATTACAAATTTATTAAAATATTTTTGAATAGAATAAAAAATAACTTAATAATTAACAATTATTATGAAAATATGATAAATATTACGAAATGACAGTTAAAAAAGGAAATAATAACTGATTCTAACAGCAAGAGATGAAAAGCATAAATGGCGAAAATAAATCCTTTTACTAACTTTCCAACTTTCGCAAACATATCAAATAACCAATCAGGTTTAAGAATTTTGGTGGTGTGATTGGACATTAAAAATGATATCCCTGAAATATCTTCACCAAACTTATTTTGGCGAGATTTTTAAAAAAATCGTCATAGGGTGGGCTATTTCAGGATCCACTCATCTATTCTTATAATAGAAAATTCTCATCATTTTAAAAGAGCATAGACAATGTAAAATACATAAAATTCTTAATTTCCCACAGTCTAGAACAGATCTACTATAGCTAAATATGAGTTAACATCATCTAATATTTTCCACATAAAGGCTATGAACAAAACACTTGTAGATAAGCGATCATTATATATAGTTGAAGAAAATTAACAAATTCTTCATCATTGATGATCAAATTAATAAAAGTTTCATTATAACCTTAAACAAGCTTGCACTGACTTAATAATAAACAAGTCATTCAATTAATATAATTAAGATTCATTCAATTAATATTAATAAGAGAGGACAATTCTAAAAGACATATGTTTATTTTGAATGTCAAGTATTTGAAATATCAATATACAATATATGGAATTTATACAAATATTAAGTATGCGTACATATTTATAATAAAATAGCACTTGCAAACATATATCAAGCTATTATCTATGTAAAATTAAAATTGAACATAAATAACTTTCAAAAACTTGACTTTAAATACCAAACTTAAGTACATTAAATTTCAGGCGATAAGCCTATCCAGCAAAATTAAATATCCAATACTAAATTCAAATTTTTATTTAATTTTCAAACAAATATAATTACAGAAAAGACTACGTAACAGCCACTAAAATTATTTTTGAATTTAACAGCTGTTTTTTTCAAACTACAAATTACGCTAAGGGTAGAAAAAAAAATTTTTACTCAAGCTAACTATACAATATTTAAAGGCAATAAAAAATGGCCAAAACTGAGCTAACTTTGTTAAGAAAAGTTGTTCATGTATTTCAAGAAATAAAATTGATGGAAGGATTAAGAAAAAGTCCTTAATATTTCATGCGCATTAAGCTTATCAACAAACACAGGTTTTATGAAAAAAATGAGTATTTTCTTTCTAAACAGTTAAGTAAAAATGGACAGCTAATTATTACTCAGAATGGTTTAAGATATAAAAGAAAAACAAATAGAATATATGTCTAATGTGTAGATTACATGCACATCAAACCACATGCGTATTGCTCAGGGGCACACTAATGAATCCAATGAAAATGAAAAAAAAGTAAACGATGAAAACATGAAAGGCAACGATCGTTAAAGAAACTTTTTCACCGTAGAACGAGATAAAACATGACATTGAAGAACAAAACTATGAGGAAAATATTTTTACCATTGGCCGCCATAGTATTCACTCGTTAAGAAAAGTTAAATCTTCACGTTGCCACGACAAAAAGTCCCGAGCGAATGTGAAGAAAAACTTTCCGCCTGTTGCCATTTTATAAACAGTTCTTACGAAATATATTTATAAATTCATTCAGCTTAGAAACCTACAGAGAACGTTCTCTCTCTTTTATTTTCGCTTGTCAATGAATCTCGCCAATCATATCTCATTTAATGTGATAGTATCACATAATACGAAAATCATGAACTGTTAAAAGCAGTCCTTTAGGAGAACAACGAGTTCCTCTAAAGAGCCATTCTCGCAAAAGTGAATTCAGTAATGCAAATAAGAATCTAATTGGCGAGTTTTCCAAGAATAAACATATTTCACCAATCAGATGACAATGACTTGATGACATGCAGTGAGAACGATCCCTAACTCTGATTTCTGCACTAATCTTTGATTGGTCTATTTGAACATGGGGTACGCTGAAGGAGGCCAGCGTCCTTAAAAAACTACTTAGCAACGTAACAAACTGGCAGCAAAATTTCCAAAAGAACATTCGAAATTTCACCTCTTTACCTTTTTAAAGAAATTATTTCTGTTATAGAATTAGTGATTGCAACGAACTATAGGGAGCGTTGTTGTATGAGACGAATACCTGCTATTTCTATATGAACAATCATTCAGTTGCTCTGGTGACGTTTTTAATGTAACGTACAGCATTGCAACGTTCCTTCTTTATTGTGGCCTATTTAAATTTAAAAAAGAAAAATGTTTGATATTCTTTCTTATGCAAGCGTAATCAACAAAATGGTGTCTCTTTTTTTAGAGAAGGAACATCCAGAAAACATCAGACAAATATTTGTAAATAAACAGTAGAAAAAAATTAATGTATCTTCTTATTTGATTTACAACCTAATGCCGGCGAAATCGTTTTACTAAATTTAATGATATAACATGAAAGGCCTATTTAAACTTTACATTCCATAGTTTTATGCATTATATTACTTCAAGCATTAAAATATGCAAAGAAAATATATACATAAACCCATAATTTTATATCATTTAACTTTGCAAAAAAGTTTTTTGATCAAGAAATTTTTAATTTCAATAAAAATTATTATTTATAAAGTAAAAAACGCAAAATGAAGAACGCTTAAGTAAAAAGATAAGATTCTAAAAATTCATCAAATTAAAATAAAGAACTTTCATGTTCTTTTTTAATTCTTAATCGGACGTAGAAAACCCTTCCATGGAGAATTATCATCAAATTGGAAAATTAATTATTTACAAGTAAATTTTTTATTATAAAAATCATACACTTACCTACTTTATAAATTCGGAGACTTCCAATATGATATGTTCTTCGTTTGAAAACTTTACTCTCAAATAATATATACATAGATTATTCCTTCATTACTTTAAGATTACATACCACACAATAAAATTTTATAATTGCAAGATATCGATATGAATTTCAATATACAACTTAAAAACAGAATAGCTGAATTCTGGTTGATTTTTTATCCCATGCTTTTCTGAATCATATTACTTATAACATCAGAATATGCAGGAAGTATGCATGTTATACCATTTAATTTTTCAAAAAAAGTATTTTGACAACAATTTTTATCAAAAAATTATAAACTTAAAAACGTAAAATAAAGAATTCTTGGGATAAAACACGATTCTAAAAATTCCTCATAATGAAATAAAAAATCTTTCATATTGTTTCTTTTTTTTATTCTTATAGTTCGTAATGAGACGCAACAAAATCATTCTGTAGCGAACTATCATCAAAATAGAAAAAAAATTACTGACAAGCAAATTTTTTATTATAAAAATCGTAACTCTTACTTGCTTTATAAATCCGGAGAATTCCAAATGAAATATTCTTCGTTTCAAAATTTTATTTTTAAGCAATATATACATAAATTATCCTCTCATTACTTTTAGATAACATACCACCCAACAAAATTTTATAATTGTAACATCTCCATATGAATTCTAATATGTAGCCTCTAATCAGAATAGCTGAATTCTTGTTGAAATTATTCTTTCAAAACTAAAAAATGCTTACAAAGAAAACGATAAAAATTTATTATAATCAGCACAAATAATACAATTTCAAGTAATTCGGATGATTCCTTATTGTTGTTTTTCGAATTACATATAGATACAGAAATATATATTATTCTATAAAGAAGAAGAATATTCTATAACTATTGCAGTTCGGAACGTTCTGAAACCATATTTATTCATTGGAATGAAGTAAGAAAAATTACTTCACTTTAATTTGTAAGAATTGAAGACAAAAAAAAAGTATGTTACCGTTATACACACATCTGTAACAGTATGCGATCCCGAAATCAGAAGTTATCGGTTGCAAGCTTGTTGATAATAAAAATTAAAATTTTTCTTCAAAAGTTTGGCGTGTTCTGCTTCAGAAAGACTTATCAATGTTCTGGGGAGTTTTTTTCAAGTTCTTCTGCCTTTTCCTTGGGGAATTTTTGCTTATTTGCTGCTAAGAAAATGGCATCCAACTCTACCAATGGTTCTGATAGAACTAAATGAAAACTTAATAAATAAAATCCTGAAATAACCTATCCGCTAGATACGTACTCAAGCGTTGCGATTGCGAATTTCTACGATGAATCTCTGTTCTATAATAATTAATTAGGAAGAAATTTAGAAAACTTCGGGAGTATCCCTCCACTTATGTTATGCTTAGGAGGAGATGGAAGAATCGGCTTAATATTCTAGAAAACTTTATAATTGTGATTTGTGTTTTTAAATTTATGCGTAAATTTACCATTCATAATACCAATGATTGCGGAAATTTATAAATACTAACAGGTAATCAACCTAAAACAAATATAAGAAAATATCACAAGGTTTGCCATGTTTAGATCGTTATCCCTTATTAGCTATATTTGTAAAATATCACCGTATGTTATTTTATGTATAGCATCATAGCATGCTTGTGGTGTGTCCCGAATCCATTTGTTGATTGCTTCGCTTACATTTAAATTGAAAGACCGCGTTAAATTGTAAACACTACCAGGGCTTAGACTAATTGGGCCCCGACGCAAAAACTTCTTTGGATGCCCCTCTGCTTCACTAGTTTTCAAAGAAAGTTTGTTTTTTTTCCGAAATCCCGAAAAAAAAACCACCCAAATTATAGCTGTGATAGAATTCGATGAACGGAAACTACTAGTTGATTCATTGCTGTTTTGTGAAAAGCCGGGAGAGCTGTATTAAGATCACCGTACTTTTGAGTGCTGATAGTGAGAGCTGTATTAAGTTCACGATCGTGGTCTCTCCTGTGTTGCCTTTAGCAGTAGGTGAATACGTTGTACGTTGTGCGTGATCGAGACTGAATAGCAACAACGCGAGGAGGGGAATAATGTCGCAGTCACATGTAGCAAGTCAACTGTTCAATGTAAACCATTCATCGAAGTAGGCGTGTTCAAATCTTAGGGGGCGTTTCTATCAAGCTAGGCGTGTTCGTAGCGAAGTGGGAGTTTCTGTCAAGGTAGGCTGTTCACATCACATCCGCAAGTTAATGTCAGTATAGCAGTAATCGACAATGTCTACCTTCATCTATGAAAAGGTATCATCATCTTCTATAGATTTAAGCCCATTTTGCGAAGAATCTAATGTGACTGGAAAAAAATGGATACCATATTTGAAATCAGCTCACCAAACAATATAACAACGGTAATAATATGCAAATAATATTTCAGAGGCCGGGGTAATAATTTGAACGCTTATGATGTAACACTAAAATTAGATTATTTTTTTTAATCCTCTTCCCGATGTATTTATAGTCATCACTCTTTCATGCAAATTAACTAACTCGAAGACGCGAAAATACTTTTATTTTCTAACTAAGTTTCGACGTCGTACTTTCGCTTAACTCACCACCTAAAGATCTGTGGTATTGTTAAAATCAGCGTTTACGTTATGCTTAAATGAAACAAAGCAAAACAAAATTTATGAAACAAACTAATGCATTGAATTTTAAAATCTCTCTTATAATGCGATTTTATTTATGAATTAATTAAAATTACAGGTTAAGGGAAGTTTGATTTATGTTGAATCTTTATATTTTCTTTAACATTCAAATTTTTTTTAAAAAAAAAAAAACTGCTTTCGTTTTAACTTGTGTGAAATAAGTGTAAAAAGTATGAAAATATGTAGAGGAAGAGGGAAAGGAATATGAGAGAAATATTCGTTAACAGCTCGAGCAGGATTTGAACCAAGAACTTTCGTGGTTGTTAAGGGTGGTGGGTGAACACCCTCTTCCATGGTGGGTATGGCTTCCTACTTTGGTCCCAGAGGTCCTTGGTTCGAATCCTGTCGTTATAGTTCATTTTTAAAAAAAAGAAGAAGAAAAAACAATGTTGACATTTTAAAATAGTGTTGAAATAAAATTTTTGTCATAGTAATACCTCAAAATTTAGTTTATTATAATGATGCATGGCAGTGTTTCCCAAAGTGTGGAACGCGCACCCCCAGGGGTACGGGAACAGTTTAGCGGGGGTACGCGGTCTTATGCGAAAATCTAAAGATTTTATTTAAAAACAAAGCTATCCATGAAAATTTACGATTACGTATTTTTCTATTGACTTTTTTTGCAGAGTTAACAGTTAATAATTAGTGGTGTCAACAGCCAGTTGTGATTTTTAACTATTGTGCATTTTTTTTTATCACAGCAAAAGCAATATCATCCTTCTCACTGATGCAAATAAACTTTTTAACAAAACTATGTACCAAGAAAGAAAAATAAACATATTTTTTAAAAAATACATTCATTTTTTTACTAGTGGTACACAGCGTTACGAAAAATTTAAAAATGGTACACAAAAGTCATAAGTTTGGAAAACACTGATGTACGGTTTTAAAAGCAGATTGTAATAATGTTATTATGTAATCATATACAATAATTAATAATACATTTTAAAAATGTATAATATTTATGCACACATTTATGTGAAAAATATTTTATTCGAATTAACAATTTTGAAAAGGGTTCTGAGTTCTTACTTTGAGTTGTCAAAATGATTGTTAAATAATATCCCCCGAAAAGTCGACTTTTAATTTAGTGTAAGAAACAAAAATGTATATGGAATTTAGTGGTATATTTATAATTATTAT